CGCTGTCTTCAGCCAGGAAACTGGTCTTGTTTTTCACCTGCTTCCTGAGATCTGCAACCACTTGCTTTCGCCTCTCTGAGGAGTTTGGCTGTAAGACCTGTTAAATGAGAGTAACCGTCTGCAGTGGCAGGAAAGCTGTACTGGAGTCATGGTCACAAGAGACCTGCCTCCTGGTTCTTTGAGCTTAAAACCACACGTGTCAAGAGCACGGCTCCATGTGCACTCCCCGGTGCAGGCGGCAGGGGGAAGAGGGTAGGGCAAGTGACAGGAGACCCACAGCCCAGACTAGAATGCCTGTTGAAACTGTCTCCCATGAACCAAGGGGCTGGGGGTGGGGGTAGGAGAGGGGGACTTTAAATCTTGGCACCGAAAGAGACAACACTTTGCTCCAAGGTCTGAGATTACCAGGCAAACCTCAAGGTGAGGGTGGGAATAGCCGGTAGGGGCTGCAGTTCCTTGAGACACCAGCTTCTTTTGGTGATTCCTTCCTGGTTGAGATCCGCAGACACCTACCTCCCCTCACCCCTCACCCCACCCCTCAGGGCTCTCTGGGCTTGGAAGATTTGAGTTCAGACAAGGAGCTTGTGCCAGTGACACAAGCCACGGTGGGGGCCCTCTGTCCTGGTGTGCCTCAGAGACGGCAGGGATCCTAGCCTGGCCAAGAGCGTGTGGGGACTGGCTGCCATCATGGGGGTTTATCTAGTATTAACCCATTTATTCACTCCAGCAGGCCTAGGACACCTGGGCAGTCACTCCCATTTTACAGATAAAGAAACCGAGGTGCAGGGAAGTGAAGCGACTTGCCCAGGGCCTCACAGTGCCTTTGCCTCTCATTTGGTCAGGGTCGGCCAGTCTTTGGAGTGGGGCTAGTGCTGCAGCTGGCTGGGCAGCCAGCTGGGCAGGGCCGCGGCTGGAGACCAGGGGGAGTTGGGGCGCAAAGCCAGACAAGCCCCGCCCCCGCGGTAGCAGGACAGCCAATGGGCGCCGGGCCTGGAGTGGGGTGACTCGGCGTCAGCGCGAAACTCCTGGGAGTCGGGCCCTGGGTCACATGCGCGCCGCACCCGTTGGACCGTGGGGAGGGGCCGCAGGGGCAGGACGGCGGGAGCGGGGCGCTGGCCGGGCCCAGGCCCCTGGGGGCCAGCGGGGCCTGCTCTTTCGCAGGGCCTCCAGGCCAGACACCTGGCTGGGACTGCCGCCAGGTGTGCGTCCGGGCACCTGGGCGGGGCAGACGCGGGGTGGCCCCGCCCTCCTTCCCGCGGCCCGGTTGTTGGCTCCTGGGACTGTGGGAAGCTCCTCGCATCTAGTTAGGGATGTCGCCCAGATCACCCAGCCCCTCTCCTGCCCGGCCTTGGTTTGCAAACCTCCCATCAGCCCCTTCTTCCCTGGGCTCTTAGCGACCGAGAGGCGTCTTTAATGTGTTCTGGGCCACTTGGGCAGGTGTCCAGCGTGGGCTAGGCCTCTGCCCATGCCGGTCATCATGCAGGGCCATGTTCTCAGTGCCTGAACTTAGTGGTGGTGGAGGGGCTGGCACAGAATTGCCAGGGCTACCTGCCCTGCAGTGGGAAGAAAGCTGGTTTTGATCACCCTGGGCATGTCTAGAAGGCTACCTAGGACACGCCCCCCTCCCCATCTTTTATTCCTATAGCGGCTAAACTGGGGCCTTCCTAGGTTATATATGAGGGGACCTGGAAGCACAGTCAGACCAGAAGCCTAGACCTCATACGCCTCTTTCTCTATTTGGATCTAAAGGAACCAGATGGCCATTGACATGGATGATTCTGGTGCTAGATGACCCTGTATTCTCATTCCAGTTTGGCCTCTGCTGTATGATGGGCAGGGCAAGTTGTTTCTAGCCTTCTCTGTAGCCTCTTTGGTCAGCTTTGCCAGGGAGGCTCACTCACTGTGGTCACCTCCACCTCTTCATGAATCACTCAATAGAACCTCCATAAAAGAGCTGGTTGAACCCCAAAGCTTGCACAGTGAGAGGTGAGGTACATGAGAATGAGAGGGGGGATCTGTCCCCTAAGGGGTAATTGGTTGTTTGGGGGGAGGCCAGGTGTAGTTAAGGGGGAATCAGAGTGTCAGGGAGAGTGGTGACCCCAGGTATCATCTAACCTCCCCACACCAACCGCAACTATAATACAACTGATTTTAGTTAATTCTCAAATGTAGATGATTTCACATGAAGGCTGGATTTCTGGCGTTTCTTGAAAAATGGGACCGTTGAGCAAGACTGGGTGCCCCTTTAGCCAGGGCTGTGAGCTTCCCCACAGTCCCCATCAGTCCCTGGGTATCAGACCCAGCCCACTTCACTCACTGATTAAGTAATGCAAAGGCCCTGTAAGCATGGTGTTTACCACCCACAATCTTATTTTACAGATCAGGAGAATAAAGACCCAAGAGTGGGCAGTGACTTGCTCAGGAACATACACTGAAGCCTGCGACCCTGGGAAGGATGGTCTTAGAGTGGGCATAGGGGTAGGGAGAAGACAGCACCAGACGGAGGAATTCAATCAGGTTTCTGGAAATGTCCCGCTGACTCCCTGCTGCTGAGAGCAGAGATTTTACTTCCAGGGATGTGAGGGTCCAAGCTTGGAAACTCCACCCAGACCCCTCTGAGGGGCACTCCTGCCAGGGCAACTGGCAGATCTTCTGAAATAATGGGATTTCTGGGTGACTTGCCTTTACAAGGCCTCTGGTGCTACCCACCTCATCCCTCTATTGGCTGTCGGGTTCTTCAGGGCAGAGTCTGGAACTTCTGCTCCAACAATTGGGAAAAAGACACCCTAGTAGGAACTCAGGTTACAGCAGCAAGCAGCCTTCAGTCACATGTAGAAAGGCTAATCCAGAGGAAGCTGAGCCAAGACAGAGGCAGATTCTGGACCAAATCCCCAAGCAGCTGGATCCAGCTATGCCTGAAGCTAACTACCTGAATTTTCAGTTACATAAGCCGTAAATCTCTCTTTCTGATTAAATCAAGTTTCTTTCTACCACTACCAAAAACGTTCCAACATACAATCTCTACATGAGGTGTTTGGTTCACAGCTACCCTCATGTAGGATAAAGGTCCTGATACTTAATTCTAGATTTCCCAAACTTTTCTCCACAGACCCCTTCTTTTTAGGAATAGCTAATGTATTGGGGAGCTGTGTCTTGGCACCTGTCCACCAGTGATCTTGACATACCTCTCAGGAGGCTGGTCAGTTGCGTGACCTCCCTCCTCCTCCCCCCTCCCCCCAGGCTGACCTGTCCACCGCATCTGCACTGCAAACAGCTTGAGTACTGTGGGGTGTGGCTGCTCTCCCAGAGCCTCCAACCCTGCAGGCCCTGGAAGAGGGCTCCAGTGCTTCCTGGCTGCAGATTACCCTTGATTCTGGGAACTCAGTCAGGGTATATGCTCCCCAAGGGCAGGACCGGAGCAGTCCCTCCCGTTTGGCATCTGGCAGAGTCTCAGGAACATTGACTGAAAGCACAAGTGAACTGGGTATCCTGGTGAATCTGCGGAGGTGTCTCAGAATTAATCTACTCTCCACAGGGTGAGGCCACAGCGCAGTGCCCAGGGCACCTCACACAGGGCTGGGGCACAGAATGGGCTTAGGACCCATGATGCCTATTCTTAGACACTGGAGACTATGGATCCCTCACACTTGAGGCCCATGCTCATGCTCCCCCTGGGGCCTTGCCACACTCCAATTGGCCAGAGACAGGACCTCCACGAGTTTCTATAGCCCAGGGAGACAACTGATCAAGGGGAGCTGGGTGCTGCTGCTTCTGACCCAGACTGATGGCTGGCCCAGTGTGGCCCCTGGGTCACAACCCCACCTGTCTCCTATCAGCAGGCAGGGCAGCCCCTTCCCCCACAGAAGGGCTGGTGTTCAGGGTGGTGGGCAGCCTCACCTGCTGGTCATGTGGTGGTACCCTTCCTGCCCACGTATTCATGGCTCTGACCTGGGAGGTCCGAGGTGGGGCTTCAGTGATGGTGCTGCTGGTGCTCCCTGGCCACCTTAGGCCAGAGGATGGCTCTTTCTAGAACTCAGTCTCTACCTACACATGAGAGGTTGAACAGATGAGTCTGCATTTGTCCCAGGTCTACCTGGGGGCTTGATGAGTCCACCACACCTGAGGCTCATCCTCATGCTCTGAGACTGAAGGGACTAAAAGGTTCTGGGCATCCCCTGAGCCAGTGTGAGAAGGTGCTGGCACCACAGCTCCCACAACCCAGCCCTCAAGGAGCCCGGTGCCTCAGGTCTGCTGAAGGCTACGGCCTTGCAGCCAGTGCCCTGGAGAGAATCTTTTCAAACAGGAGACAGGGCTGGCTGTGTGTGTGTGTGGGGGGGGGGGGTGACTGCCAAAGAGTAGGCTTTCTGGGTTGATGAAAATATTCTAAAATTGATTGTGGTGGTGTGTGCACAACTGGCAATATACTGAAACTCCTTAATTGTATACTTAGATGGGTGAAATCATATGCTATGTGGATTATATCTCAATAAAACTTTTTAAAAAGGGTGGCGGTAGAGGGGCGGGATGCTTAAAACAGCAGCTCTCAAATCCAGTGTCTAGCAGGAGCTCTGCAGATCTGATGCCTGGCCAAATTCAGGGAGCCCAGCTGAGGGGCTGCAGAAGAGGGGGCTTAGGCTTACTTGCATAAGGCCTGGGCTATTTTCAGGGAGGGTGAGTGCCTCCCCCACACAGGCCTGGGACCCAGGAGAAGACAGGAGGAACCACAGCTGCTGCTCCTGGAGCACTCAGGCAGGCCATGGCGGGTCTGCGACTGCTATAACCAATACCCCCAAATAACCCGGGTGGCCCCGATGGCCAAATGGGGACAGGTGCAGGGATTTTCCTCCAGCCCACTCCCCTGGACAGGCAAGGGTCTGTTGGCAGCCTGGTGTGGGGGCGGGGGGAGGGCATTGGGTTTCCCAGGCTGCCCCCCCAGCAGGGCCCACGGCAGCGTCTGCATAAAGCAAGCGGGTGGTCATATCAGGAAAGGCCTTTTGAAAGGCACAGACACAGTGGACAGAGATCACACAGGAACGGTTTGTTTGCTTGTTTATTTATCATGGAGTATTTTACATGCAAGAACCAAACTAGAGAGACGGTATCTGGAGGGAGAGCCAGTGGGTGATGGACACTGAGCCTTGAGTGCACTGACCTGTCCTCCAGAACTGACCGCTCTGCCTCAGAAACGCACGACAGTGACAGAACACCAGACTTTTGGGGACGACTGGACAACAAATTCAACACATTCCTTTTCTCAAAAGCCCCAACAATCCTGAGAAACCTTACAAATTAAGTGCAAACTTTAGGAAATAAATATTCATCCCCCTCTCCAGGAGAGCCTGGAGGGTTTATCCAGAGAAAAGCAGTGTGACTCCAGGGTTGACAGCTGTTCCCGGGGGGGGGGCTGGTGATGGCAAGGGAAGCCCGGCTTGGACCCCCATGGACAGGAAGGGCTGGAGATGGGCACTAGGAGAGGCAGGTACCTCAGGGGATATCTTTTGGGTGCACACACACTTGACCATGGGTGGCCCAGACACCCCAACAGCAGATGGAGGAGCTCATGGATGGGCTGGCTGCGAGCACAGCACTGCTCCATCGCTCTTTCCTCCTGCCAGGCCATAGGCCCATCAAGTCATCCAGAAGACAGGGCCGGACTGAGTTAGAAGTGTGTGTAGGCGAAGTGGAGGGTGTGGCTGCGGGAAGGAAGCAGAGGGGCAGGAATGTGGGTGGTAAGCAGGGCTGCCTGCATCATGATGCTGGAGGAGTCGGGCGCCTGCTCCTCTGGGCCATCCACAGCCCTAGCCTCCTCTCTCCCAGCTGGGGCCTCGAGTCACAGCCCAGGCCCCGGGCCTCTCCGGCCCCAAGACCCTTGCTCTGGACCTCTGGGTGGGGAAGGAGAAGGGCAGTGAGCCAAGGTATGGTCCAGGGCGGACAGCATGGTCACTCACACTGAGGGGACTGACACACAGAGAGACAGGAGGATAGACGACAGAGTGGAAGTCACCTTTCCTTCTGGCCCAGGGCGGCAACAAGCCCTTTCAGAGACCCCTGTCCCAGTCATGCTGATCAGTGAAGGAGTCATCTTAGCCAGGTCGCTGCTCGGTGCCTGGGGAGTGCCCAGGAAGGGACAGTTCTGGGGAGGTTGGCCGAAGGCCCATCAGAGCCCCAGGTCAAGCCACACATAGTGCCATTCTCACAGCCCACAGGCCAAAATGGCAGGTGAGAGGAAATGGTTAGTCTTCACATCTCAGCACACAATGAACACAGAAAAGGTTAAACACATCCCCAAGAAAATATTTTGACAAAATAAATATTTTAACCTATAATCAGGTATAATTAGTGCTTATAAGGAATCCCAGCAATAATTTAGTGTAATTAAGTACATACTGTATCTGTGATTTCTAACACTTGTGGAGAGACTGGTGGCTCAGAAGGGTCTCACTCTCCTAGGGGGCGGGGTGGGGGGGTCTGGCTGGTTTGCCCTAATCAGACAGCCTGAGCACTGTGCTCCCCAGACGGCAGGGGCAGTCAGAGGCCACGTGGGCCAAGGGGAGTCCTTACGGCCTCAGGACTGAGCAAGGCAGAACCCCCCCCCAAAGGCCTGTACTTGCTTCTGGTGCAGGACTCAATTGCCACCTCAGCCTGCAGGTAGGAGCCGGCTGCCTCTGGACATGATGTACTAGCAGGAAGTGCTGGAAAGCCACCGGAGGGGCGGCTCCAGGCCAGGAAGGCAGTTGACACTTCTCTGTGGGTTAGTGGTTTTGTCAGTCCACAGGAATCTACCGTCCCCTGCTGTACCAGGGACAGCCAGGTCTTTCGAAGCCATGTCTGACTGATCAGCTAGAGTTAGGGGGCCAGCTCTGGACCACAGTATTGAGAGCAGCTTGGCTGGGGTATCCTCAGGTAGGCGAATGTCTGAGCTTTACTCACCACCAGGAGCCTCCTCTCCCCTTAGGCCCTTCAGGTTCCTGGTCTTGTGGTGACTTCCCCTTCCATAAGGCAGGAGGCTGCTCTTCCCTCAGAGTACTCTGGCTGCCGGGTGCCACGGCTCCCACACCCAAGGTTCGCTGCCCACCACTGCAAGCCTGGCAGGCTAGCAGAGGCAGGTCCCTGCTCTTAGAACCCTTCCAAACTGCATCAAAGGGCTGGGGATATCAGCTGGGGTCTCTGGGTACAACCGAGCTTCTCTGCAGCTCACATCAAACCAGCTGACTTCAGAAGTCATAATGTCCAAGCTGGCCTCAGGGGACTCTGCCCTTGGGAAATGTTGAGGAGCGGGGCTTGAGCTGACCAAGGGTTGGGGAGAGGGGTGGAGGGAGCATAGGCATGGCACTTGCAGCCAGAGGGGACAGGACTGGAATCAGCCTGGCCAAGCTCCAGTGGGGAGGTTCCTATGAGGACCTGGAGTGTAATATCCCCAGCTGTTGCTGGCCCCAGCCAGAGTCCAGGGCCTTCCCTGGAGGACGCTGTGGTAGTGTGAGATGGGCATGGGGCCCTGGGGTGGCAGCAGCTCTCACTGCATTGTTAAGGTTCCTCTTACTGCTTCGCACAGCCCTCAGCTCCAGTCCCGGTCCTAACACTTCTCCTAGCGCCCACGGCACTGCTCTCAGCCCAAGACGAGCCCAGTGTCTTTTCCCTGCCTGGGCCAGTGCTGTGGCTTCTAGGCCATCCTGCCAGGTGCAAGGGCTGACCACACCGAATTGGGAAACTAGGTGGCAGGTTTTGCCCCCAACGCCCAGGCAGTGCATGCTGGAACCATGACATGGGCCCTGGAGGCTCCCGGGCTGGGATGAGCAGTTGCAGGGGCAGCACACAGGTAGGGCAGGCAGGACTCAGGCTGGGGCCCAGCGAGAATGCAGTGCCCGCAGCCAGGAGACACAGCGAGGAACCAGGACAGAGCAGGAGTCACCAGCCCCCAGCAGCTCAGCTCCAGGCTCTGTCTGCCTTTTAGGTTGGCTCGGAGAGGGAGCCATCATGGCCGGGGGAACTCTGAGGGGAGGAGGTGAGGCTGTTGGGAAAGTCTGTGGAGGAGGCTGAGACCCATGCCAAAGAACAGACCAGGGACCTCAGTGCTGCTCTGCTCTCTCGGTTGTGTGGCTCTCCAAGCATGGTGAGAAGCATCTACTGCTGGGCCTGGAGATAGAGGCTACCACAGGCCAGGCCAAAGCACAGCATGCTCAGAGCTTTCCCAAGCAAACCAGTCACTCCTCCCTGTGCAGGCCCCTCCACAGAAAGGCCCGGAGTGCAGTGTGCGCAGGGCAGTTTGGTCTGTGGTAGTGCTCTCTCTGCAGGAGCCAGCCAGCCTGCCCCTCGGCCCCTGCCCACAGGTGGTATGCTGCTCTCTCTCTGCCTTTTGGCTCTCTCTCTGCCCCCAGAACCTGCAGGTCTATGGGGCCCCTTGGTTCCAAGCTCAGCTGCTGCACCCGCTCAGGCATGGGGCTAGCAGCCGAGTGATGGAGAGAGCGCCGAGATGAGGGCACACATGGGCACCCCATGGAACCTTCTAAAGTGCTGAGCACGCCAAGTGCCACAAAGTGACACGCATCAGGGAGCAGCAGTAAAGGGAGGGAGACCAACCCACAGGCGCAGACAAATCCTTTCTGGGAGGACAAGCCAGCCCAAGGAGATTCACTGAGCCAGGCAGGGGAAGGGGCCTGACTCCCTTCTCTGGGCAGGTGATTGGAGGAAAGACCATCCTGGTGTCTGCTCAGAAGATAGTCCCAAGGGGACTGCCCTGCCTGGGCCTGGGCCCACTGCCCACTCTTCCTGGGAGGAAACATGGGCAGAGGGAGCCCGTGGGTGGGAGCGGGGAGGGAGGGCAGGGCCTCTGGCTGCAGCCCAACTGTCCCACCGCCGAGAGAAGAAGGTGGCTAAAGCTGGTCCTGACTAGTGGGAGGCCTGGGAGCAAACACAGTGGCATTTCCATGGAGACACAGCAGCGCAGGACCACGTGGGGCTGGGGATGAGAGGAGTGGCCAGTGCCTAGTGTGAACCGGGCAGCGAGAAGTGACCTGCCATCCCGGGGACCAAACCACAGAACAGCTCACAGGGCGAAGAGGGCATCCTCAGACCGCTCTGACTTCTTCCGGCCGGAGGGGTTGGAGGCTGGGGCCGGGGCCGGGGCCTCCACTGGGGGTGAGGGGAGGTTGGGAACCATTTCAGCAGCTTTGGCTCTTTCTTCAAGGAATTTATCAAACTCTGCAATACAAAAACCAAGGCAAGGACCAGGATTGGTAGGGGGCTAGGTCCACACTGAGGTTCAAATAACCACACTCCACCTGCACCCACGGGGTTGCCCCAGCATGAGTCCCCACCCTTGCCACACTGCCCTGGGCCACCTGCCAGGGAGGGAGGGCTCTGGCTCTGTCCCACTCAGGCCTCATGGGAATGAAGCAAGTGTCAGAAGATCTAGTGACTGCACATACTGACTCCATCCCTACAGCCCACAAACCTGCAGCCAGCCAGAGCCAGGGGTGATTCTGGGCATCCTGTTCCTGGGCATCCTGCCTCTGTTTCCACCTCTGCCACCTCTAGGATGGGTGGGCAGGACAGTGCAGCCCCACCACCTAGGGAGGCCCCCCACCACCTTGGGAAGCAGGGGGTTCCCTGCTGTGCCAGCTCATGGGTCCTGCTGGGAAAGGCCTGGGAAACCACAGAGCTGGGCACAGATTCCTGCCCCACTGCCCGGCTGACTGGAGCTATTCCATGCTTAGATCAGTGCTGGTACAGGGCAGGGAGAGCTGGAGGGTGAGTTCCCACTTGAACTTACCACAGACCGTTTCTCTTCTCCCACCTCCCTACCAGTAAGGATCTGCGCCCATGGAGGGGGTCTGAGCAGACAGTTTGGCAGAGAAGGAGGAGGCAGTGCAAGGAGAGACAGGCAGAGGCTGGGAGGCTGTGGAGGTAAGATGGGCGCAGGGAGGTGGGGGGCCGTGACAGAAACTTCCCCACCTAATCCATTAACTGACCCCCCCAGAGTGAGGTCACAGGATCTAGACCTGGAGAGGCGCCCTGTGTGTAGTTATGTGTCTTGTTCCTTGATTGAGCACCAGGGGGTGGGGACAAGCTGATTAGGGGTGCAGTTTTGGGGGCTGTGTTGCCATGGGATGGAGTCAGTGTGCATAGTCACTACATCAATGATCTTCCGACACTTGCTTCATCAGCACGAGGTCTGGTGGGACATAGCCAGAGCCCTGGCACAGGCCTAGCACCAGGAGATGCTCTGGCTATAGGTGCTCCAAGGTGGTTGGAGTGCCAACTCTGGGGCACCTCCAGAGCCTGGTGTAGAAGCAGTAAAAACAGGGGAGGGGGCATAAAGCTTCAGCCAGACCATACCTTCGCTCGTGACTCCCTCCTCCAGGTCATCACCCTTCTGTGGGAGGAGCAGAGAGAGGGCATTAGGGCCTACCCACCATGCTGCCACTCCCTGCCAGCTGCTACCCCAGGGTGGCACTGCTATCACAGCCTGAGCAGAACTCCCCCTTCCCAGAGATCAGCAATAGCAACATACTGACCATTAACTTTGTTTTTAAAAGCAAAAACAAAAAACTGATTTTGATCCTCCAGAAGGGCTGGAAAGGAAAATTTAAAAAAAAGGTGTGAGCTGGTTCTTTGAGCTGAGCTGCAGCGGCAGGACCTCAGCAGGCCTCTCCCCATCTAGGACACACTCCCAGAGGAGAGCTAAGTAGGATGGGCCCAAGGCATGCCCAGGGCCCCCTCAGACACCCTTCAACTTAGTGTTCCCTCGTTACCAGCCACAGGGCTGTGGTAAGTCACTGTCCATACCAACAGCTGGGGACTGCACAGGGCCTGGAGGGGCCGGAGCCGGAAGCCCTTGACACACAGCCTGCTACCAGGCAGTGCTGGAGTGCTGTCCCCAGAAGAACACCCCGCATTGTCCCAGGAGCAGGCTGGCTTCCTCCTGTGGCCCAGATGCTGTCATCTGTTGCCGGCTCCCGGGGAGCCATGGAGGCTCTTAACAATGAGAGTGATCAGACTGTATTTTGTCTGGAGAAGGAGGTAATCACTGGAGCTTCTAGGCTGCCTGGGGCCTGGGGACTCACTATACAGACAGTGACAGGGAAGCGGGCTGGCTGGGGAAGTGAACCGGGTCTTGGGATGGCCAGGAGACCGGGCTTACTTCTTGGTTTTGCCACTGCCCTGCTGTGTAGCCTTGTTGGGGCGGTGCCTCCCCCTTTCTGGACCACAGGGTCTGTCTTGCAAAGTGGGGGCCTTGGCCTCTATGATCGCAGTCAATTCCTTTCTAGGCATTCCCTTGGGAAAGATTTTCGTCCTCTCCTGGCACCTGGGTGGCTTCTTTGATAGGCAGTGAGTGTCTTGGGAGAGCCTGGCCTGATGGGAGGTGGCCCAGAGCAGTGAGAGCCCTTATGTAAGATCTCCTATCTCTGGGTGGGAGGGGACCAAGTCTGCAACAGGCCGCAGTCACCAGGCTAGAGACACTGTGGTTACAGACCTGTTCCTCTCCGGGGCAGGGCCCCCAGAAAAGGAGGTAGTGCGGAGCAAGAGATGAGGGGCTCTCCAGGTCTGAGGGAGACTCCCAATAGCCTATGACCTTGGGCAAGCCACTCCTCTAGCCCTGCAGCCAACAACCCCCACCCCACCTCCTGCCCAGGCTGCTGAGGGTGACAGGGCTTTGTAAGGGACAGAGGGTGACGAGGCCAGCCACTGCAGCTCTCACTTCTCAGGACCTGCTGCCGCCGGCAGATGCATGATGTCTTGCTTTCCTGCCTTATCTCTGAGGATAAAGACAATGGTTTCTGGGGCAGGAGTTCTTCTAAATCAAAGATACCACAAGATAGAAGCGATGACGGTGATTAAAAAACAAAACCAAAAAACACCAGACTCGTGTATGTTTCACAATTAGAAAAAAATCAAAATGAAAAACCTGAAAATCCTCAACTACATCCTCCTCTCCCCCCAAAAGCCCCAAGCGCGCACACATAACACATACACACCCGAAACTGAAAAGTAACAGGGGCAAGTGTATGTTTTAGGGCCAGCTAGAGCTGACTCACACCCCAGTTTGGCCTCTCACAGCAGCTTGGTGAGGGCGAGGGGGCTGAACCCAGGACAGGCCACCATCACTGCTGCCCTCCTGCACCCCAGTATGTTTTGTAGGGAAAGGCCCGATGTGAGGAGTTAGGGGCTACAGGAACCATACTGGCCCCCCACCCCCCTCCTCCAGCACCAGGGTGAGCAGCCCCTGTGGGTGTCCCAAGGCCCATCCTCAGAAGAGCCTCTGCCTCATCCCACCCCACACATGAATATAAAAGTCAAGTCTCACCAGGTCCGTCCTGAGCCACACCTCAATGTCGTCCATGACAGAGGGCTGAGCAACGGGGATCTATGGAGGCGGCAAGCAGCGGGCCAGGCAACCCACACAGCCAGGCAAGGGAAGACAGAACACCGGAACAAAGTAAATTGTCAAAACAACCCCCAAATGAAACCAAAATGTACACACAGCAAAAACAAAAACAAAAAAAAAAAACAATTGGCACAGCAGGCATGGGCAACATAAGGCAGCCACATGTGAAATGGCAGGCGAGGAAAGCAATGAGGCCAATTCTAAGAAGCAAGGCTGACCGGCAGGGCTGGGAAGGGAAGGGAGGCAGCAGTACGAGTTCTTGAAATGGAGAACTTTTTGACTCCATGTGTCAGCTCTCACCTCACGGGGATCTCTCAGTCTAGGGCAGTCAAATGCTTTCTAAGCCCAGGAACGCGCTGCTTCTGCAGGCTGATTTGGAAACTGTCAGTTTATGACAGTAGGAGCACGGCCCACCCGCCACTGAAATGCCCCCCTGTGGGCCCAGATGCTACCAGGGAGGCCGTCTGTCCAGATTCGGATGCAGGTGGCCGGGTGGGTATTGCAGTCAGCCCTGGGAGTGTAGGGCTGTTTGCTCATTGAAAGTATTTCAAAATGTATCCTGGAGCATTTCTGAGTGGGAGGAGGGTGGCTCCCGGGGCCTAGGTGTGGCCTGGCTGACAGAAGGCAGGCACATTTCACCACTAAGAGAAACATGAGCAAAAATCGAGGGCTTTGATGACAAAGGGACTGCAGGACTTTAGTCTTCTTTGTGTCTCTTTAGGGGAAAAATCCCAAAGCAACCCTGAATGCAATAGCCTCCTTTAATCTCACCCTTTCTTCCCAGCTTTCAATGGCTGTCTGTGCTTCAGTAGTCAAAGAAAAGAAGTTCAACTGATTGTGGCCAGTGGGAGTGTGTGTGTGTGTGTGTGTGTGTGTGTGTACTGGACCCCCCCACCCCAAGCAAAATGAACACACCTCAAGAATGCCTGGGCAGTCTCCAAGCCTGGGACATCTGTGCCCAGGGCCTTGGGAGGCAGGGATTGTGAAAACTGCATTTAGCTAGGAATATTTAAGCTCCTGTCAGAGAAACATGCTAAGAAGTAAAGGTAACCTTTAACCCCCCAGAAACCACATTAATGAAATGTTGGCTCCCAGCCTAGAGAAATGAGTTCACTGGTCTTAATCGAGGTGACCTGCCTCTTCACCTGGACTGACTTGGGAACTACCTTCCAGGGGATCACACAAAAGCCCACTCTGTCTAGAAAAATTGCCTATGTCTATAGTTGGCTCCATCCCAATATTGTAAACCAGAGTAAGAATGAATTTAAAATAAGTAGTACCTTAACTATTCGCCAAATCTAAAAAAATATCGAAGGGATTAACAAAGGAAAAGAATAAGAACTTCTTATCACCAGCTCTGACTTGGGGTGTGCACTGGAGCAAGGACTTCTTGGCCCAGACCAGCACACGATGAGCAGGTATCTGTATTCTACTGGAGCTTCACACGCTCGCTAGCTGAGTCCAGCAGCTCCCTGGCTCAAGCTAACCATGCTCTGTGCCTAAATACAGACCCATATGGGTAGGCCACACACATTTCATAAAGGTTCAAGCCAACCTGGATCCGATTACGAAGATTCTGTCAAGGTAGCTCTTTTATTATTTTGACTTATTGGGGACTTAAGAATGTTAAAATGAGAAAATACCAAGGAGCTCAAATCACCCTGAACTAACTAACACCTAAGGACAACTAGCCGGTGATTCTCACTCTGGAAGGTACAGATGACAATGCATGGCTAACAGCACTTAAAGCCAGAACTCACCTTCCCTGTCACAAAGAAAGCAGCTGGGCATGCTTGCTGGTGGACACTTCTGCTGTGACACATACCATGACAGGAGATGCCAATTTTCATGATCTCTATGCTTATAAGTCAGAATGCCTGGCCTCTGGGAAGATGCCTGCCATACCAGGTTCCCAGAACTAAAGCCTGGGATGTCAACTGCATCTCCAAAGAGAAAATATACCTACGTGGGCCTCCCCTGGTGGCGCAGGCAGTTGAATGCAGTGCTGTGAAACTGTCCGCAGCCTCTGCAGCGCAGGTTTGATCCCAGCTGGCCGGCAAGGGTCCCACATGGCGTGGCAGACCTCTCCTGTCTTGCCCACTGCTCCCCTCAGCAGTGTATTTCGTCAGTCTGCCTGTTCTGCTCCCTGCTCTGTCTCTGGTGAATCCTCTCACCCTCCCACACATCTGGCCTATACCCTGGTTCTTGTATAAATAAATAAATCTTTAAAAAAATATATATACCGAAGCACAGTTGCTGGAGTGCACGCTGGGCTTTTTACCTACCCAGCTTTAGTCTACCTCAGAGAAATGGAGATTAAATGGACAGAGCTTTTCAATGCACTGCAAAAGCTTAAGAAAAGCCATTAAGGGGTCATGGGCCTTACGCCTTCAGATTTTGCTCATAATTTTTTGGTTACTGTTCAAAAACAAGTCCCTTGTGGCCTGGAATCATGCTCCAATTTTCTTCTTGGAGGATTACTCTTGAGAACCAGCACGCTCAGAAAATAAACACTCAGATATTTGAGAAACTCTTCAGGCTTTGGAGAAAAAACGTCTCCAGAAGCTGGATCATGGGAACACTTTTCTTCCCTCTCTTAAACTTCTCCAAATAAGTAGTGTGCCGAAGGGCCAGCTTCCTCCAGACAAAGCCCAAAGCCCAGGAGTCAAGCTGGGGAGGAGAAAGAATGGTCAGAGATCCCAAGTGCTTGGTGGGTCAGGAAGTGGGGCAAAAGGATTCTTTCTGGACTTGCTTCTTCCCCAGCAGGTCCCGAGCCTCTGCTATCCTAAGAAGTCTCAGAGCTTCGAGAGGAGAGGCAGGGACAGGGACATGGGCAATTCTTGGCCTCGGGGTGGCAGACTGAAATAGGGTGATGGCTAGGTTATATTTAGCTTTCACCCTGCAGGGCTCCCAACCCCTTAACTCCCAGTCGGTGTGTTTCTCTTTTCTATTTCAGAAGTCTAGTGATGTCAGAAATTATTGAAACTTTCATCTTCCTTACGGTAGATGAAAGGTACTTGGGCCTCAGAGTGGGAGTCATGTGGCTAGGGTGTGACTAACTGTACAGTTTACATAACATAAGGCTTACCAGACCTTGGCTATGGAAACCTCCTACCCTGGTAAATCAGTGCCTTGAGTACTGCACCAGGGTAAAGTTCCTTCCAGTAAATGAAGGTGCTATCAGACACAGACTGAACATGGACACAGCGGGAAGGAACTAAAGAAACTGAGGGAGGGCCTCCCCTGGTGGTACAGCGGTTGAGCGCTGGGTTGCAAGGCTGCCCGCAGCCTCTGCAGCGCCGGTTCGATCCCCAGCCACCGGGCGAAGGCCCCACAAAAAACAAAACAAAAAACAAAAAAAAAAACAAAAACTGAGGGAGAAAGAGGAAGCGCTTAGTCCCACTGATGGGAAGGAAGGGACAGGCCTTGACTGGAGAAGATGGCACTGGACTCTGTCACTGCCTTGTGGCTTAAGGCATATCACCAGGCCCCCACGAGACCTCAGTGTTCTCATCCGTCAAATAAGGGCTGGCCCAGCTGATTCCCAAGAGACTGTGGGCTCTGACATGCCAGGATTTTAGCATCTTCTTGGGAAATGGTCCAAGCTGAAGGATGGTCCAAGGGGGCTGAAGACGAGTGTGAGTTGGAGGAGGGAGACAGAAAGGGAAAGAGACGTACATTAAGAAAAACAAAGGCAGCTAGTGCGGGCACAACTTCCAATAAAGACCACTGCCTAAAACTAACTCCCTCTGGGGAATGGCTAGATGGGGTTAGTTGGGCTGAGGCAATGGCTAGATCATCTCTGCCATTTTCAGTCTAAAGAGAAACTGGCCTTTTGGGTAGCAGAAGTGGTAGATTTTGATGTGAGTGGTAGGTGAGCTGATCCTCCTTCGGCTGCCAGCAGGGGCAGCTCTGCCTTGGGGGAGTGGCAGGGTCACTTGCCCAACGGGAGATGCTGTTGCTGATGCTGCCACAACCAGCACGCTGTGGTCTCAGGCTTGCGTGTCTGGGGACACTTCTAGGCTTTGGGCTCCTCCTTCTCCATAGACCCAAACCTGGGCTTTGGCAGCAGCAGATTTTTGACTAACCTACTTCTGTTCTTGTTGAGACTACCATTTGTTTACAGCAGGACATTCCCCTGCTTTGCCCTGCATGTGGGAGACAGTCCTTTCTGACCACCAGGCAGGAGAGGCAAAAAAGAATGGAGAGGGCAGGGGAGGGAGAGCACATGCACCAGCAGGTCCAGGCAGGCTGGCTCAAGATGGTTCTGTGTTTTCTTTGGTTGGTCATGAACCTGCTCCTGTTAACAGTGGTGTGGGACAGCTAAACACCTAAAGTCCCAGGAGAGCAAGGGTCAGTCTTCCACAGCCCCGATCCCACAAGGAAACCTAACTGTGCTGTCTCCAGTGCCACAGGCACCACTCCTGTAGCTCAGTGTGCTATTTCCAGCACCATGGCCTGAGGTATAGTCTTAAAGCCCTTTGGTCTCACTCAATAGCACAAAAAGTTTCCACATAAAGAATTTGTACTTGGGAGGCTTGGGAAGATTCAGGGTTTCTAGCTATGGGAAATAAGGCAAAGCAATTAATACACATTATTTAGAAGGAAAAACACTACAGTCAGGCAGGTGAGATACCAGGTTAGCTGTTAGTTGGGCTTGTTTCTGGGGAGTCGGAGACTGGAGCTCTCAGTGGGGAAAGGGCAGTGGGGGAGCAGTCTGTGTGGTCAGAGGCAGGTGTGACCACCAGCTGCCAAGGCCACACTCAGGAGAGTTTGTGGGCAGTATCCTTTTTTGCAGGATTAAATAGGCACAAGGACACATGGCTGGATTCTCCCAATTTTGACAATGGAGTGGACATGTTCTCCAGGGGTCCTGCTCTAAGGCCGCACACATGTGGGCTGGAGCCCCAGCATGTCCCTATAGGAGCAAATGAGGGGCCCAGACAGCCCATGTCACTAAGAATGGCCTTGGGGTCTGGTGCAGAAACACAACGGGACAGAGCTGCCTGCGGCTGTGACAGGTGGAGGCTAGCCCCACCTGAGTGTGGCTGTGCAAAGGTCACCAGCTCCATGCCAGGTGGCAGGGAGATACCCCTCGCCCCATAGTTCTGATAGCCCTGTGCGGCCTACATGCTTGCCGGCCAGTCATGCCTTGCTTGGGCAGGAGACCCTCTGTGCTGCCTGCAGTCTTGGCCATGCTGGCTCAGCCTCAGCTCTCTGCCACAGCCAGGCATGGCTCCCAGGAGTCAGTTTCGCCTCTCCCTGGTGTGTCTAGCTCACCCCCACCCCACCCTGGGGGCTAATGCTTTCTCTGCTTTGCTCACCTTTCTTTCTCTGTACCCTCTTTTCTCCAGCCCCACCACTCACACAGACCTTTGGTCTCCACGTCAGGGGTGCTCAGTGAGAGATGTGGCTTCACTGGAGGTGAACTCATCGCTCCAAGGTAAGAAGAAGCCTGGAATGAGGTGACTTTCTCTCTATGCATCTGACTCAGGGCTACCCGATCAGAATGAACTAATGGTATTCATATTAAGTTCCCCCAACTTGTCTTCCTTAATTTTGTTCCTGTTGTGTTTTTTTATGTTTCTTTAAGAGGTCTCAAATCTGTCTGGGGGTCTCAGTGGACATAGATAACTACCTTGTAATAACCCCACCAGCACAGGACTGCCAATTTCACAGGTCCAGGGCTGGAGGGGACTTCTCCGACCAGTCAGATTGTTGAGTCTATTCTTTTAGAAATGTCCCCTCCCAAGCAAAAGCCACAGTAACTTGTGCTCATCCTGGAAAAGGGAATACTGCCGAGAGCTCCGGAGACAGTAAAAGGAGGGAAGGGGCCTCCCCTCACTCTTGCAGGTGTTCCAGACTCTTAAGGTCCAGGGGCACAGTCCTCAGCAGAAAACCAGAGAAGGTGTTTCTGGGGCTGGAAGTCTGTGGATTAAGGCGACTGTACAAAGACAGGAGGGGGAAATTTGGCACCCACTCAGAAGGGAAGAGTGGCCTTGTACTGTCTGACTCACAAGGGCTCAGCAGGTGACAAAGGTAAGTGCTGGGGTGGACAGGGGACTTGGCTCAGCTGGTGACTTCTCACCATTCCTTGGGTCATGAGCCAGCTGTCTATGGGCTCCAGGTCAGAGTCCCGACCTCTACCTCTCTTCTGGGCCGAGGACAGAAAAGTCCCAGAAAGAAAAGTCACAGCGAGACCCATGACAGAGAAGGCAGTAGTACATATCATGGAAGCAGAAAGGCAACTATTCAGAGTTGACTCTCCTATAAGGAAACGTGACCCAATGCCCCCCACCCAGGCCCCTTCCAGCATGTCCCCCTTACCTGCCTGAGAAGAGAAGAGAAGTTTAGTAACCAAGAATCCCAACAGGATAACATTGCTTATACCAACCAGCCCCACACACTTGGAAAACCACATGAGGTCACAGGTTGATCAGCGCTGCTTCTCCCTATTAGGGCTCTCAGGGCGAGAGACTATCAACTTTTCAAAGAACCATCTTTTACCCACCATTTTTACTTTTTTTTACTTACTTCTGCTTCCCAGTTACCTGTGTGTTCTCTTCCTAAGCTCTTGACTGGAATGCAAATTTAGGAATATTGCTATACAAGTATTCAAAGTTAAGAATACCAATCTGTGGGCCTCCCTTGTGGCTCGGGGGTTAAGTCTCAGCACTATCAAGTTATTGGCAGCCACTGTAGCATGAGTTCGATCCCCAGCCAGGAAGCTACCCACATGGTACAGCAAACCTCTCCTGATTCTCCTGCTGCTCCCCTCAGCAGTGTATTTCAGTAGATCCATCTGTTCTGCTCCCCACTCTGTCTCTGGCGAATCCTCTCATTCCCCGCACCTCTGGCCTACATGCCAGTTCTTGTATGCATAAATAAATAAATCTTTTTTTTTTTTTTTTAAAGAATACCAATCTTGTTATACTGCAGAGATTGGCTTCTTATTTTCTTCTTTGGCCCAATTTTGATTTCCAGGTCAGGGAGACTTAGGATATGGAACAATGTAACCTGAAGTGCTGGCCTGAAGATGCATGTAAGTCTGTGCACACAGATACATACATAAACATACACAGACAGACACACAGAGAAACACATACAGACACACCACACGTACACACACACACACACACACACACACACACACCCCTGCTGTGTTCCCCCAGTGGGGGCCCCATTGGACAGCAAACACAAAAAGCTATCTGCCTACCACCACATGGAAAATATGCTGGAGTCATCAAGACCTTTGAAAACAGGAGAAGGGCCAAGCCACACACCCAAAGGGTGAAGGGCAGGAAGCCAGCCACATCTCCTGGGCTTGGACCCAGGCCTGGGCATTGATAAGAGCAGAGGTGAAGCAGGACACGCCCAGCATAGACAGGGGCAGTCCCTGGGGGCAGGGTGGACAGCAAAGGCGGTCAGCTGGTTGCAGCCCAGTCTCTCAGTCAGGCCCAGGGAGGCCATTGTGGGCCAAGAGGGGATGTCCTCATCAGGTGTCCCTAATACCTTCCCTCAGAGGCCATCCTAAATGATAGGGGAAACAGGATCATGGCCACTACTTTGATTTGGGGAGACTCTGTCTCAGGGGTGGGGCACTGCCCACCCTTCTGGGGAAAGGCAAGGGTGCTGAGAGCCCAAGGTAGCTGGGTCAGCTCTTCTGTGCCCCCTGGTGGCCTATGTGGAGGGCTGCGGAGTCCTCATATCAAGTTGGCTGAAGCAAATGAAGAGTCCCTTCCAAGGAGAGGAATCCTTCCCATGAGCGTTCCCTCGGAAACCAGGCTATAGCACTCCCCCGCCAGTGCCCACTTGGACAGGGGCTCCAGGTGGCTAAGAAGTGGCATTCAAGAAGGAATCGTAGTGACAGATGGGCACTGCCCCTTTCTGGCCCAGCTGGGGGACCCTGAAAGGAGTTCTAGCTGTTTTGGTGTCTGCTGCCCCAACAGCCCTTATCCTCCCTGCCCCTACAAACAGACTTTCTTTCACACACTGCCACATGCTGTTTAGGCAAAAAGGGAAACAATCTTGTTAGAGGCATCAAGACACCAATCCTTTCCCCTGCAGTGATCTGAAATCTTACAGAATCCATAGCTACAGTTCAGTGCTCCAATCAGCACCACACTCACCTCAAAGTACCCCCACCTTTAATTAATTTAGTTCTGCTTCTTCCAGACATGGAGCTTCCCAGAACATCCTCTTAGTCACCACCTACTGCTCCTCCCATCCTTCTAACCCCAGCTCCCCAAACAAATACAGCCCATCAACTACCTGCTAATGGGGTTGGAACTGCCTTGCTGGGCCAGTTGCAAAGAAGCAACAGAGATGCAGCTCAGATGGACATTTTCCTTCTTTGCAAGAGTCAGTATTTTGTCAGAGCACTACCCAGCCCAGGGCACTGTAACCTTTGAGGAGAGACCCTACATGGCCATGCAGGGAGTGGACACTTGCTGCTATCTGCTCTCTGGGTGCCCTAGACACAATCCACCAATCTGGGTCTGCTTTGGATACAGTGTCATTGGAAAGCTGATCTGGGTCGTCACCCCCTATTGGGATGAGGACTCAGTGAGGTGACAGAACTATCATCCCGATCTGCCCTCTATGCAAGCCAGCTTCTGTTTAATTGTCCAGCCATTTTTGCCAAACAACCCATTTTTTCCCTTCAGAGGACTCAAGGTAGAAAAACAGGGTTAAACACCTACCACTTCGGAGTTCTGTTTTCGACTGTCTAGTGCAGAAGCCAGTCCACCGACTGCCTGAGGATCCTCATAGGTCACTCTGGAAATGAAGCAGCATAGGGAGAGTTAGCTCGCCCGGCAGGCACAGGACGAGGGCAGTGACCTGTAATCACTTTCTATACATAGCACCTTCTCCCAGATACTAGGAACCATGTTTCCCGCAGACTTGGCATCTGGGTAGAGGCGAAGGACTCACATAGCCTGTCAGACAGCAGCTGAAGTGAGGAGACCCAGGTTCTAGCATTGGTTCAGCCTCTCATTTCCTCTGAGGCCTCAGGCACCATGGCCCTCCCCGACCCTCTTTAGTGACATTACTGAGGTCTCTCTAAGCTCAGTGATGAGATATCAAGAGCCCAAAAACTGCTGGAGGGAGGGACTATAGATAAAGGCAAAGTAATATTAATTCTTATTTTAAAACCTGCAGCCTTCATGGCATTTGCCAAGAAGGTAGTCTCACGTCTGGGATCAGGATCTGGCACTGATTACAGGGGTTACCTTCCTCTGTGCTCTCAGGTCTCCTGCCACATCTGTTTTAAAGGCAATTTCTGCTGGTGAAGGGTGCAAGGGCCTTCACTTTGTGGTCAATTTGTTCAATCTTGAGCACGGGACTCTGAAGTTAGAGGCATCCTGGTGCTGCGTCCCTGTGGGACGAGGGGGAAGTGTTCCTGGCTTGCTTTTAGACTGAACATGCTCAAATCATGTTCTGGCACCAACCTGAGAGGCACGGGCTTGTCTATGCTGGGATCAACTCCCCTAGCTCCATGTGGCTCATCTGGGCCAAAGCTGCTGTCAGGGAAGGCTCTGTCCCCACCCCTGGGCAAGAAAGAAAATCCTACTAGAAACCAATTTCAGTCCCTGCTTGGCTATATCCTCCTAACCCCAGCCCCTCCCACACAAGAGGTGGTTTTTGCAGCAGCAGTGGCAGCACCAGGGGAGCAAAGAGAACAGCAAAGCATCTTTTGTGACTGACAGGAGAAATCAAACAACAATCAACCCCAAGGTGGTGGTTGGTGGGGGGACAGGACTGGCGTTCATTCAACATCTGTATCCACTGCCAAGTCCTCACAGCCATATTTTAAAGTTCTTGGCAGTCCTGGACCTGGCAAATAAAAGGCTTCTTTGTGTTGGCTTGTGACCAGGCCTGGATCAATTCTCCCCCAATATCTTCCCAGAGCCACTGCAAGGGTCCCCACATACGTCTTGCGTTGCTCGGCCAAGGAGTTCCCTCTCGTCTGAGCAAACATGTCAAAGCCGTCACGGGAATTACACTGCTGGAGTGAACTGAGGGTGCCACTGACACTGTCTGTCCCCAGGTCTGTGGCAACAAAACAAACAAGGAAAGGATGAAACAGAATGTGGACTGTGGACTTAAATGTCCCCAAAGTTAGGATGCCAGCTAGGGTGGTTAGTTTTAGGGGGAGGGTTCAGGGAGACACAGGAATTTCCTTAGCATTCCCCGCTCACCACACGTAGGATGAGCCAGACGAGGGAGAGAACAGTCACTGACCCCCAAGCTATTCAAGGTGGGGAAAGATTCATTATGAATGGAAGGGAGCTCGCCAGCACTGAGAAGACAAGGACAGGGTCCGTGCCCTGTAGATTTCTCATAATGCCCTTATCAGTGTGCTCCTCATGAACTCAATTACAACGTTGAAGGATGCAGTCACCTATTTATTTGACAAACATTTCATAGGCATCCACCACATTCAGAGATAGATCTTTAGCGGAGCAAATTGAATCTGACATGGTCCTTGGCCTCAAGGAAGGCAGAGTAGATGGGAGTCAGGCAACAGCAATACTGAACTTGAGATACCAGGAAAGACTTGAAACTGACACAGGTGTGCATCCTTACAGCTGAGTGGGCTATGTTGCAGAAAGAAGGGTTAAAAGGCAGGGACAAAGGCATAGGGCCTGGAAGATCAGGGTGTAGAAGTGAACAGTACTCATGGACAGAGATTAATAGAGAAGGCTGGAAAGACAGGTGGGAGGCGGCAGGTGATGAGCCAATATGCCAGGTGAAAGAGTTGATGGAAAAATACTGGATCTTTTTGAAGATGGAGATAGAATTCAATTTGAATTTTAGGTATTAAATCTGGTGGTCGTATGCTGGATGGACTGAAGGCAGAGAAATCAGTTCTAAGAGAAACAGTGGCTACAGATACATGAAATATTAGAAGCTAGAATTAGCAACTGACAAGCCACTAAATAAAGTTCAATTCGACTGAAATGAAATGAAGGTATAAAGATAAATATTAAGAAAAAAAGAAACCGGAAAAGCAGGGAATAAATTTTGAGAGGGCTTATTAATTAGTTTAGTACTATAAGTGCATCTATTATAAATTGGTATCATCCATTGTATATGTAGCATCTAGAGTCATATACACCCTCTTAAACAATGAACTATGACAATACAGTGAGCTTTTTATTTTAGGTTTCAGACAATGGAGCACTTTAGGTAGATGATAATTCAAGGATAATAAAACGCCAAAGTCACCACTTTCTATTTCCAAGCCTGTGGCAGACATCACCAATCAATCAACAAATCATCTTCTAAATCCTAATATAGCTTCAGTATCCTTCCTAGACCTGTGTCCCAAAGCATCCAATGAGCTGAAACCTGCTGGTCAGTTGATACTGAAAAAGGAATATTCCAGATAAAATACAGCAGTGACCTTTCTTAAAAAAGCAAACAACTCTTAGTTTCTTAAAACTTCTCCCACCCCTGCTTTTCTACCACTTTAAAGTTTCCTAAACTTTAAGTTTAGGGAAAGAAGTTATGAAGTGAAGCTGGTACAATTGGCCAGGACTCAGAAAAACTCTCCAATAAAGAAAAAGAAAAGAGCCTTCAGTCCAGATTCATACCCAGGAAGTGACCTGCAAAGGAGGCCCTTTACACCCCTGCGAGACACTCACCCAAGCCTGCAAGCTGGGAGGAGAGGGAAGATGGGGGTGCCGTGTTCCCCACCATTGGGCTCACCACCGCTGGAGACCCCGGCCCCAGGTCTATTAAGTTGTCTTCCGTTACTTCATTCAGTACCTGTCAGAGCATGAGATAGTGGTGAGCCCCAGGGTGCTTGTGTCAGGCTTCGAGGTAAAATGAGCAGGTGCCATTCGGGGTTCCAGAGGAAAGACATCACCACTGAGCCAGTGCAGGAGCAAGGTGGTTTCCCTCACCCCACATTTGGGGGTTTTAGTGTGCCTCCCCGCAGTGGCCTCCCCACACCCCAATTTAAAGGAGGCAGGGTTGAATCAGTGACCATTCTGGGGGCTGTAACTTGGGGTTTCCTTGTCATCCTCCCTTTAGGGATGTCCTTGCTAGCTCTGCCTCAGTATCCCACTAACCAGAGCTTGCTCTTCAATTACCCAAGTATCTTAAGCCCAGTTAGAAAAACTGGAGGCGAGGTCAAAGTGAAGCAGTTTCCTAGCCTCTACAGAGGAAAGAATTCTGTAAGAATACTTACTCCATTACTGGCATTTTGAACTGATCGGCCCGACCTGTATCGTTCGAACCTGAAAGGGGAAGGGAGAGAATAGTAAGGAGAGAGACAGATGTCCATGACGCGACTCCAAGATGTTCACTCGTCCTGGGAAGAGTTCCCATGGACTGAGGATCTTGGGGGGACAGTAGAAACTGAGGCCCTGGGAAAGGAGATCAACCAGGCCCACCTGGGGGCCAGAAGTGAAACGCCACATACACAACTTTGCCGCATCTTCCTCTAGGTGGGGCTCTCCCAGAGGAGGATCAGCCTGCAGAGAGGGAGGAGAATACTGGCTGGCACATGCAGGAGTCCATTATGAGCAGCCCCAGTCATCCACCCCCACCCCCCCACGCACACACACCAGGTCCAAGAGTGCTCCTCTTGTGCCTGGTGGGGAGGCTGGGTCAACCACTACTGTTTCTAACGTCTATCTACAAAGCCAGGCCAGAACTGCAGCCCCTCCCTATTTCAGAGCTGTGCTGGGGGTAATTAGCTGTTGATTTGTTAACACGACCCAGGCTCCAATTGCTGGAGGGAAGTGGGTGGGACTTGCACAGGGCAGGTATTGGCCCCTGCTGTGGTGCAAAGGCTCTCCAGAGGCTGCTGGAAGAGCACAGGCAGGTCCCCACCAGTGAGGAGCTGCCAGTCAGGCTACTCTCCCAGTCAGTTGGGAGCAGATGGATTGAAGATGAATGAGACTTGGCGTGGAGCAACAGCATTCTCACACCAGGTGGGGAACAGAAGAGCTACTGTGAGGTATGCACAGGGTCTGCCATGGTATTTAAGAGCCCCAAAGAGCCAAGGCCAAAGAGGTAGCTAACAGACTTTCCCCAGCTGAAGCGTGGAGAAACCAGGCTTTACAGAGATGCACGGCTCCACACTGGTCTCCCCACTGCTGGGTTAGTTCCTGGAGAGCAGGGATCATCAGCAGGGCAACCAGATAGATTTATGTTAACTATGGTTTTAAGAAAGACCTTTGGGAGGGCCTCCCCGGTGGCGCAGCGGTTGAGTGCTGGGTTGCGAAGCTGCCCGCAGCCTCTGCAGCGCAGGCTCGATCCCCGGCTGCTCACCAGCCACTGGAGGAGGGTCCCACATGGCGTGCAGACCTCTCCTGCCGCCCGCTGCTCCCCTCAGCGGTGTGCTTCGGTCCTTCTGCCTGTTCTGCTCCCCACTCTGGCTCTGGTGAATTCTCTCACCCTCCCGCGCTTCTGACTGTACCCAGTGCATGTATAAACAAAATAAATAAATAAATAAATAAAACCATGCCTCTATTTAAAAAAAAAAAAAAAGACCTGTGGGGTTGTTTATTGTTTTTTCAAAGTCTCGTGTGGTCTGTAAGAATAGGAATATTAACCTGAAAAGTTTCTAACCCTGGAGTACTTTTCCCACACTCTTTGGAGGGGCAATATTCTTATCAAAGGTACTCTGACCAGAATGGAACTTCAGGGCTGCTGATCCACGCTTTGTCTCCGAATTTGTTGTAACACAGGGCCTGGCAGACTCTGGTGAAAATGCCCACATTGTTTCCCGGAATCCTACTCTAGAAGGAACTTAGATGAGTTCAGCAGGTTAAAAGCCAAGCTCATTTAAAGCGGAAAATCTGGAGTTACATGGTAAAATCAAGGGTCTCCGGCTGGGAGCCGAGGCACCTCAGACCTGCTCCTGTTCTCCAACTGACAAGGGAGGGGTGCTGGGGGGAAACCTGGGTATACCGTATTGGGTATACAGTAAGAATACCCATATTCTTACTGCAGATGTCTCTTTATCCATCAGAAGGATATAGGACCACCCATCCCCCTTTGCCACAACTGAAGCTGAAACAAAACCCAGAGCTGTGCCAATCACAGCAAAATTTCCTCAAAGCCCCCCAGATGCAAGCAGCTGTCACAACGACCCTACCTGATGCCAGATTACGGTGTCACGAGCCAGCACAGGGGCCAGGCCCCAAGTTTCCAGGGAAAAGGCTGGCCTGGTCAACGTATTTTCTGGAGCCAACACTGGGTGATTCAGGAAAGCTCAAGGCACACTCCTCAGAGTGATGCCAGAGGAGCCCTGCTGCCATCGCAACTCCTATTGAAAACTGTGTCTGAATAAGACATTTGCACTTTTTTCCCTGGGGAAGGCTTTGGAAAAGGAAAGGAATTTGCAAATTTGTTACCTCAAACCCAAAAATGATTTGGCTGTGGAAGGAACTGAAATGAGTGTGTGTGCGTTTCCCTGAGCGCTGCACGCCAGCACTTACACCACGCCTGCTTCTCCTGAGCTCTCTAGACACGCTGACATTTGCAAAGGGAGGGAAAAATCTTTTTTCTCTTTTTTAAAGATGGCAAAGAGGAAATCTTTTTTCCTTAGTAGAGTTCTCCCCCCTTTAATCCTTTTCAAATTCAAAGGCTCTTCAAAGGAGCAGGTGCAAAAACTCCAGAGCCCCCCCAGCCCCCCAGTGCTCCCCCTCCTGGGACTGGGGGGAGTGGGGGAAGGGCGAGCAGCCTGAGGCTTACAAAGGGCAGAGTCTAATCTGCACGTCAACTTCCTGCTGCTTGGTTCCCAGGAGAACAAGAGGCATTTTCTCCTGTCATCTGGGAACAAATTAGCATCTCTGATGAGTATTTTCCAACTCTAATAACTCTCTCTCTCTCCCCTTTGTTTATGAAAGAAACCCCTCTGTTATGGCAACAGTCTTTTCAAGGGGGAGAAAACCCACAGCCCCACCTCTCATATCTGAGGAAGACATTGTTGAGGTCGTCGTTGACGTGAAGCAGCTCCTCGGTGACCTCCTCGTTGGACACACGGGAGATGAGCTCCACGATGCGCTGCTGCATGGCCCGGCAGGTCCTGTTCAGCTCCTAGGGAACACACACACCTCTGGCTTAGCCTGCTGGGAACGCTTTTGTCACATGCCACTTCCGTTGGAAAAATGTGTACTGAGTCTTAAAAGTCACAAAAGGAGCACATGTGCGTTGTCGCTAGAGCCAGACGTGTGTTGGGTGCCAAGTGGTAGGCCCCTCTCCCCTTGCCCCTTCTCCAGCCCAGAGAAAACAAGTGCTTTTTCAACAGGCAAATGTCCATCCCTTATACTGTTGTGTGTACTTATGTACATGTTTGTACAGAGCGTTTTTAAAATGTAATATGATTTTGGGCCTTCCCTGGTGGTGTAAGGGTTTAAGTCTCAGCACTATGAAACTATCCACAGCCACTGCAGCACGAGTTTGATCCCCGGCCAGAGAGCTACCCACATGGCACAGCAGACCTCTCCTGTCTCGCCCACTGCTCCCCTCAGCAGTGTATTTCAGGCAATCTGCCTGTTCTGCTCCCCACTCTGTCTCTGGTGAATCCTCTCACCTCCCCCACACACCTCTGCCCTGTACCCCAGTTCTTGTATGCATAAATAAATAAATCTTAAAAAAAAAAAAAAACATGATTCTTTGCAGCTTGCTTTTTCTCTTCAACAAAATTTTCCAGTCGCCTTGCTCCCACTTTGCATGACTGCCTCATCCTAAGCAGCTCACGGTTCTTCTACTGCTGGCCATTTAGGTTGTGGGCTCTTTCTCTGGTTAACCTAAATAACGCAGCAGTGGAGAATGGTGTGTATATACAGACACATTTATGCATTCATGCCAGCACTTCCATAGGACAAGCTCTCAGGAGTGGAATTTCTGAGTGAAGGGATATATATTTAGAACACTGGTTGTTTATAATAAAAGAATCCTCCAAAAAGGTGGTATCTGTCTTATATTTGTGGCAACAGTATGAGGGTATTTTTATGATGGCAAGAGGTACATTTCAGTGGCAGGCCTTGCACCTTACCAGGTCTCAGAAGCTCAGCAAGCTCCCACAAGGATTCCCAGTTGGCCAAAGATGACTCTCATGAATCCTCAGCCACCACAGCAGCCCTCTCTACCCTTGTTAGCAATGACCCCTGAAGACCAGCCCTTCTTACTTCCTGGTCTGGCCTCCACGGGCCTTCTCTGATCCAGCGGCAGCCTGAGTGATGCTCTTATAGAAACGTGCTTGTGCAGCCACCCAAATACCCACCAGGGCTCCTTGCCACCTTGTATGCCAGAGGGAGGTATTTGAGAGAATCAATGAATGAAGGCAAGTTGCATTACTTCCATCTACACTCACCCCAGGATATCCAAATCGCATGCCCTTGCACACACATGCACATGCATTCCCTCCTTCACTGCTAAAGGCTGAGTTTCTCAGCCTTGATCCTGCAGGAAAGAGGAAGGCAGGGACCTCAACAGACCTGTCCATCTCAGAGGAAGTCGAGTCAGCCAGACACCAGGCCTAGACACTGCTTCTGCTGCCACTCCTCGCAAGGCTGCTCAACCCGCAGAAGCTCCTTCCCCGAGCATGGGGGGAGCTGAGGAAAGAAGCCCAGTCCATGTGGACCAGCCCAGAATCACTCCAGCACAACTGCATTTATCCAGACAGAAGGGCCTAGATGTAGGCAGCTAGGCACAAAACAGTCTGGTGTTCACCTTTAGGAAAAAAGCTTTGTTGAACATCTCTGGCTTGCAGGGCCATCTATCCAGTTATGGAAACATTGCCCTTGATCACAGTTCTACCATCTTGCTAGCACTTGCAGTCAGAATGGTGCCCTCATTCTCTTTCAGTCAATGAGGACAGCAAGTCCCATGTGTGGACCTCCCTATTTTCACTATGAACACAGATTTCCTAAGACTCTAGAGGTTCTGGAGAATGCAGGATCATCCCTAGAAGTAGAGGGCTTTGAGCAAACCACTGGATATTCAAAACCCCTCTCTCCCTACCCACAAACTAGTGCCACAGGTGCCAGCTGCTCCTGGGCACCAGTGCAGATGATATCAGCCAGGCCTGGTACATTCTCACAGCCACCGCAGAGGATGTGGAGGATGCAGCGGGATGGGCTCACATTTAGGTGGGGGCTGATAGGGGGAAGGATGGGGACCTTGACTCTAAAGAATTCTGCACCTCTGGTCCCTCCAAACCTTGGCTCCCTGTCACTGTTCTCACTCAGTTATGCACTTAAGTCCAGACTTCTTCCCAGCACTCTTCACAGGGAAAATGGAGAATCCATGTTCATTCAGAACTAATATTCCCTATTTAGGATATATCCCAGGCCCTAATGAACCAGCAGTAAGCATTTATATACAGACACGTGTGCAAATTAATAACAAGAGGTGAATACCAAAAATTAACTTCAGAAGCCACTAATGTTCAGTAAAGAGTAAAACACCATAAAATGCCCGCTCTCTTCCACTGTAAATGGCTCATGTGCCCAGGCCCACCAGGAGACGGGCACTCGACTGCTTGGTCAGTGATGGCCACACAACCACCACCATGGGTGCCACAGACACTCACAAGTCAAGTCCAGTGGCCAGAGAGACAATCATAGTACACAAGAAAGTCTGAATAGAGAATAAAGGATGCTCATGAGCAATGGTAAAAGGAAGTCAGGCCCTCAATATTAAGAAATACACAAAAATAAAAAAGCCAAACTGATGAAAAAAGCAATCATATTAGATCATGCCCATGGAGGATTCCACCAGCCAGGACTGAAGTGAACAATGTAAGTAATCAAAGTATTTATAACACATCATCAGAACACAGCAAGCACCTAATTTGAGATAACAAGGGAGCATGAATTTAGGTTAACTGTAAAAGACCAGCCACCTACTCCTCCCCCAAAAAAGGTGCTTGGCAAACACTTAGGCAACAGATCTTGCCTAGTGCTTTAAAAGAACCGCAGGAGGAGGCCTGATCAAAGAGTGTAGGAATGGGAAAGCCAGACCCAGGGGACAGGAGGTTGGGTGGCAGGGCAAAGGAAAGAGCTGCAGCATCTGCCTTCTACAGTCTCCCATGGACCCTTCCGGGGCCACTGTGTATTAGCCCCTCATCCTTCTCAAGTGCAACGTGCTGGCTGCAGATGAGACCAGCGGTCTTAGGTGTCTACAAAAAATCTCTGATGAGCAAAAGGACCTTGGGTACCAGTCATGGACTCACTCCCTCCAGCAAAGGCAGCCGGGCAGGAAAGTGTGGCCCCATTTGGTGTTTGCAGCTAAGCAGCAAGCCCTGGAGCCCTGGGATGGGAGGGGAAAGGGAAGGCGTCACTCACGTCCCACCCAAACTGCAGGTCAATGACAAAATGCAGGATCTGTATGTCAGAGGAGTATGGCAGCATATAATGTGACACAGGTCTAAGGTCAGCTCTCCAGAAGCATGTGGCGTCACTCCCTAGAGCCTGTGGATCTTTTCCAAACACTTTTCAGACTGTTTAAAATAGCAGATGATTTCAGACACTGCTCAGGAGCCCCTATGAGTCAGCCTTCTGCCTCGCTAGCCTCCTCCCTTGCTACCAAACAAATTCCTACTTGTCCTCCAAGGTCCCAGGATGTTTCCCCACCCTAATAGTTCATGATGAAAATTTTCAAGCACAAAGCAAAGTTGAAGGAATTTTACAGTAGACACCATATAACCAGTACCTTGATTCTACCATTAACACTTTAATGTGCCAGCTTTACCAAATGTCTACCCAATTCTCCATCTTCCTACAAACTCCGAATTTTTGGTGAGGGAACTGCCACCAGCCTCCCTCAAGATGAGGGATGATGATGATGCTTGTCATCAGCTATCCCAGCAGAGCCTCCAGCTTGGACTACCTCTAAGAAGTGAAGACCAGCTCCAACCCAGGATCAAAGGCAGAAGCCCCAGGACAAAGTTCAAGCTTCAAGGATGATCCACCAAAGTCAAAGGAAACCAGACCCCTCATGATTGCAAGGAATCTGAAAAACATGGTTCCAGAGCACTGGAACCACCAGGCCAAGGAGGGCAGGGTTGGCTTAGGTCTCCCCACAGAGCCCAGCCCCTGTGGGTGCTGGAAACCAAGTGCAGGTAGCAAGCAGTTCATGTAAAGATCAGCCCTCCAGGGCCCCAGCACCTTCTGGGCCTATCCCTCCCTGGGGAAGTGGTGAAGCTCTCCACTGAGGGGCCCCTGAAGCACCCTGCCTATTTCAGCAGCTCACCTTTGCTTTCATCTAGCTCAAACACCAACCTTCTCTGTAGAACTTTATTTGTGGAGGAAAGGTTCTACTACTTTACAAAAAAATGTTTGGAAAGTGCTAGATGATTTGAGGCCTCTGCTAGCTCTAACATCATGACCTCAGCTTGGAGGGAGAATGAGACCCAAAGGCACAGGACACAGAACTCTCAAGGACTATAGCAGCAGAAACAGCCGCTTTGGCCTTGCCTCTGCTGCCTCTCTCTGTACTGTCTTCAGCTGGGGTGGCTGAGCCAGGCCTGACCCCACAGGCAGAACCTCATGGCTCCCACCCTGGACAGACAGGCCAACCCTGGGACTTCCGAATCAGGGATCTCAAGGGGTCTTGACAGAAAGCTTTACTACCTCCTCAAGTCAACCTTTTAAATGACTGTCTTAAAAAAAAATAGGAAAAATAAAGAAAAGAAAGCAAAAGAGAGAGGGGGATAATTAAGATTTTTGCCACCACAAATGTCAGCTGGCCACCCACATGGCCTCTGTAGGCCGTCCATAGCCAGAGCCACCTCAGGCTCAGCTGGGTGACCTTCCTCCACCTCCCCCACCTCCAAACCACCCAGACAGAGAGAGACTCACTCTGTCCTAACATACTGAGAGCCTCCAGCTTGCCCAGGTGGTCCTTCCCACTGTGCAGCAGCTGGGCTAGGAATTTCCTGAACACCGAAGATTTCAGTATTGGCCTCCTCCTATGTCTGATTCTCAACAGAGGGAAGAACAGCTGGCCACAGTTCTTCGTGCAAAAGCCCTCCATCTATCAGAACATCTTATTAAAATATCCTCTCTTTTCTAATTAATCCCAACGCCTTTATCTTTTCTTCAAGAGACATTCTCATCTCCACCTCGCAAAACAATCTTTTAATCATCTTTCTGGGCTTCCTCTCAACCCTCTCCAAGTTCTAAGGAGCATGGAATAAGGTCCTGAAAACCTGCTCTCTATAGCTACAAAGGAGAGGGGAGGGAGAAGAAATTCTTTGTTGAAGAGAAAGGAGGAATCATGAAACTAAACACGTAGAATAGACTATTTTTCTCTAGAGAAAGTGGTCCTGGCTATCCTGTTTTTTGTTGAAATGAGATGCAAGAAGCAAGAGGGATATACCGTCTGCTACTTGAAAAAGCACATGGAGGGGGCTTCTTTTATTATCTGATGGACGACCATGTAGGCATACCCATTTGGCATCACTGCATTAATTAAAAGTTACTATTAACTGAAGGCAAAGCTCAAGAGGCTAATTTGAGAGAGACAGAGATGATAGCATCAGGATCTTTAAAGACACTAAAAAGTTGGTTTCACTGCAGGAGCTCAGGACGCAAGCTTTAACACACAAAGGGGCAGAGTCTCCAATTACAAGTCTGGACCCAAGTGCCCATGCACAGGATGGGGAAGTCATGGATTTGCAGCCTCATGAGAAAGAGATGGAGAATTTTCAGTTGATGGAAGCTCTCGGTTTCATATCTGCCTCCTGCTGAGAGCTGCCTGGTCACCTACAGGGGGGCTGTCAACAGCCACATGTTGACCAGGTAGATACTGGGCTGTGGAGGGGCTTATGGCAATCTTAAAATATCTCAGGACCTACCATGTGAAAGAGGACTTTGTTTTGTTCTGTTGTTAAAGAAGACAGACCAGGGAGCAGTTACGGGAGGCTGACTTCAGCTCTGTGTGTGGGAGGGTGTGCCAATAATAATCCCAGAAGCTCCACCTTCAGGGTGACTTGCCAGTAACTGGCACTGTGCTGGGTCCTTGAGATAGATGACTCCCAGTCTTTCCAAGGTGAGAGTGACGACGCCAGCCTGAAGGGTACGTGACCTGCCGAGTGTCACCCAGCTTGTCAGCTGTCAGACTAGATGTGATCCAGTGATTCCTAAACCCTTGCTCTTTCTGCTGTGCTGCCTCCCAAAGTCTGAGCAAGCCGTGTGTTTGGAACAAAAGTGCTTCCGCAGCTGACACGAACAGCCTGTCATTGAAGATGTTAAGAAAAACGAGGCAAGCACCAGGCCAGCTGCCGGAGAGGGGATGAGAACACAGGTGTGGAGCTGGACGAGCTGTCTAGATCTCTCCCAACTTAGAGTGAGAAGGTTGCCACACACTGAGAAGAGTTGCTGTTCCCTCTGGGAGTCCTGCTTCACTTTCCCCGGGGGCTCCAGCTAAGCTGACAGCACAGCATGGTGGAGGGGCTCAGCCTCCACTCACCCACCCAATGGTCCTCAGACAAATGGCTCTCTCTGGCCAAGATTCCCTGCTGTTCTGAAGGACTGGGGTAAGGCTACACCTGAAAGTGCTTTGGACACACAGGAAGCCATCGGGACATAACCTGCCCATAATTATGGGCGGCTACACTGGTGCATCCTGGGGCTGACACCTCCCATTTCCTCCCCCCACCCCCACTATTTCCCCACCTCCTATCCAGCAATTTTCATGCAGGCGGGGGCAGCTTCTGTTGGCGTGAACATTTTGGGTGGGTGACAAATGTGTTTATTTCCATGGCCCTGGCCAGCACTGTGAGCTCTGGACAGCTTCTAAACTGAGCAATCTGGCTGCCCTCCAGCTCAACAGAGGGGTCCTCAGGGCACATTCTGACCCTATCAATTTCCAAACACATGGTGGCATTTTCCCAAGTGGAAGGCTCACCATCCGATGTGGCCCCAACCCTTGGGAGACCCTGTCCGGCTGACTTCCAAGCGCTGGGGGAAGAAGTGGGGACGGGAGGGGGATGATGTCAGGAATGACAGAAGAGGGAGGCCAGCAGCCAGGAGAGTTGTGTCTGTTCACACAGAGCTGCCCGACTACTGAACCTCCCGTGCTGAAAGGACAGCCTCCCACTGGCACCCAGAGCAGCTCTTTCTCTGTTTGATTTATAAGATAGCAGTGAGAGCTGGTAGGCTTGGAGTTGGAACAAAACAGAGGGAAGGAAAACGTCATGGGAAGCAACCTATTTTTGAAAACTGTGAGCTGACGCCAGGAGATTAGGTTCTGTTTGTCTTGGCTGATGGGCTTGTTTAAAACACACACAGACACATGCACACACACGCACACACACACACGCATGCACACACAGGGTATTCGTACTGTCTGGATCTGCTCTGGCTGTCTGGAAGCATGTTGGCTTTGTTCAGCCCACCCCCTGCTGCCGGGAGCTCAGTTCTGTCCACCACAAATCCCCTGTCAGCAGGAATCCTGATGCTGACACAGCACAAAGCTAGCAAGAGGCCCTCTCAGTTTCTGGACTAATCTCAGATTCCTGTGCGTTGGGTAATGCCTGGAAGAACCCCCTGCAGGCTGGGGATGGAGGCCAATAACACATTAGTGGGACGCTGGGCCCCACAGAGTGCGGCACATGGACAGCTGGGCCTGCTAAAATGAGGCAAGCCTGGTTTACTGCAGGTGGCAGGAGTGAGGACTGAGAACTGAGGAGGGGCCACTCGGGGGTCCTCACTCAGCTGGCCAAGGACACTCACCTCAGCCTCAAGAGCAGCCTGCTGTCCTGATTTCCTGCCTGCCTCCTGCATTAGGCTGTGAGCTCCTCAGGGCAGGAGCCATGGCTCTGGCATCTCTGTGCTTTGTTCTGTGTTAGGCTTGGAGCAGGCCTCCACCCGCCCTCATCCCAGGGAACTGACAGCTTCTGTGGAGGAAGGGGGCACCACAAGCAGCGGCTTGGTATCAGGCCCAGCCACTGAGGCTGTGTGCACTCCTGAAGGACTCATTAGAGTCCTCACTCATTAGATCTGAGCCTTCACAGACAGCAAGTGTGTGCCAACAGCAGGGTGGGAGGTGTGGCACTCAGGGGGCCAAGACAGACGACTCTGAGTGCCCAGACAAAAATAGCAGCAGAGCACGTCTAAGGCACTCACCCAGTTTGCCAAGCCAGTCTGGCTCCTGACCTGTTTACTCAAGCATCTCACCTCCTGCTGAAAAGATCTGGCGCTTGTAATTTCCAACATCCTTTCTCCACCCCTCCCAAAGGTCATTACTTCTAAGGACAGTGCTGCTGCCATTTCTATAAATGCAAGTTGTCTGAGATCAGGGTGGTCAGATCTGGCCTAGCTCTGGACCAGGCTGTCCTGGGAAACAGGCTTGAGACAGGATCTGACTCTAGTTTGAGGGCAGCCTTGTATGGGGGGGTGGGGGCTTTTCTGCCATGGCCTCAGGTACCAGGAGCAGAGGAGGCCAGCTGGCAACAGACCTTAGGAATCATAATATGGGCAACCCCCAGTCCAGGTATTCTTAGTGTTTGGGAAAAGAAAACGAACTTCAAACATCATCTCCGTCTCAGGAATGTCTCTGGGGTAAGGTGTGACCTAAAGGGCTCCTACCTTCAGGGGAAGGTGGAAAAGGTCCTGTTACAAACATTTATGATAGAACGCTGAGAGAACAAAGCAACACGTAATATCAAACACATAATACGATCTCAACTATTGAAATAGAAAAGAGTGAAAGAAAATATATCAAAACAGTGACAGTGGTTATGTGGGATTAAAGAAAATTATTTTCTTCTTTTCAATGGGCATGTATGCAACAGTTGGAGTTTCATAATGAGGGAAAAAGTGTTTTTAAGGAAAATAACAGCAAGCTTAGTACCAGCCACTGCTCATTCCTGGGAAGTGTGAGGGTGAGCTGGGCTAACATGGGCGCAGTCCCTTGCAACAGCAGTCTCCCCAAGCCCCATCTCTGCCTCCATATGTTGAATGCTTCATCCCTCACCCACAGCTTCCATGAGATGTGGTCCTCCTCACCTGTAGCAACTCCAGATCAGATGAATCTTCTTGCCCGGGGACCATTTCTGTTAACATCTCCGACATAACTTTTGTGTTTCCTCGAACAACATCCAGTTCACTCCGCAGCCTGGCAATCTGTTGGGGCCAGGGGAAGAGAGCGGGAAGGAGAGGTCAGTCAACCTGTACTTGGCTGGACAGTCCCATTCATTATGACATCCAGGTTACACCTCTGGTGGGTGTGGTAGAAGAAGCAGTCTTCTCTGACGAGGATCTGCCTGGGAGGGTGATAGCAGCTCTGAGAGAGTATGGAATGGGGGAGTGAGGCCACCCGAGGGCCCTGGTTATCAAGTTTGTCACTGGGGACTCTGCCCATGATACTGAGGCACACCGTATATAGAGAGAGAGCTCACGGGGTTTGGTGAGAATGGAGCTGATTTGCAGCCTCAACTGTCCCACTGTGGGATGTTGAGTAGAAAATTAACCTCTCAGGCCCTGGCTTCTTTCAAGTGAATGATCCCCAAGGTTCCTTCAGGATAGGCTCCTCACTGAGGAACCTCAACTCTTGCCTCTGGGAACTCTGGTCTTCTGAGAGGCTGAATGGCATTAACTGCACTTTTCTGGTGTGGCAAGAATGAAGGGGAGGGACCGAGAGAAAGACACAGGGGAGCCCCCCTCCCCACCCAGCTTCCTATCAAGGGATAACACGACCCTTGAAAACTACCCAACTTGCCCATTCAACATAGCTCCCCAAGGCCCGGACCTGGGCTGAGGCCTGACCCTCTCTCCTGCAGCAGGGACACTATAAATTTCCCCGTGGTCTCCAACCCAGCACATGCGCTCTCTAAGTCCCCTCAAGATGTCTATGGGGGCCACAGGACATTCTTTGCCCACAGAGAGGCATAAATAAGAATCTGCATAGAAATGCCTACTTGTCCCCTACAGAAAGGAGGATTACTCAGTCATGGGAGACCAACACGCTGGACGGAAGCCAAGAAATTCAGAGATACTTGAACGAGTGCTGGGAGATGCCCAAGAACACAGGCCCCCACAGCAGCAGCACTGACCAGTGGGTAGCAAGAATGAAGGAGATGGACCAAGAGAAGACACAGAGGAGCCCATCCCCCACCCAGCTTCCTACCAAGGGAAGGAGCCTCAGCTTCCTCATCCAGGGAAAGATGATGATAATACCACATCTCACAGGGCCACCGTGAATAACTGACATGAAAATCCTCATACAGTTCTGGCATGCAAGACCCAATACTGATTAGATCCTTTTCTGCTAGAACGTCCAGAGGGCTGGATTTTGCCATGACTCTTAACTGCACTGTGACCAAGCTCAACACCTCTGTTCAATGACACCTTTTCTAACTCTCCCCTGCCCTCCCCTGAGGTGGACCCCAGAGTTCCCAACCCCTACCCCTCCAGGTCCCTCCCGGTCCTATGCCAATCCTAGCAGTAGGGACTCTACCAGGTTGAGGCATGTACCCTCAGCACAGAGATAGGGACAGGAGGCCTCAACAACTGCTCATTGGATGGGGAGATGAAGAGATAAGTGGACAAATGTTTAATCAGGATGACAGGTGGGGTCTGTGGATGGGCTCTTTTTGCCTCTGGCTCTGCCTGGTAGATAGCCCAGGGAACCTCCTCCCAGATCTTCAGAGCAAGTTTCTGGTCTGGGATATCCAGGGATGTGACAATTAGAGATCATGTGGTCTCTGAAGTCCTGGGGTCCTCTAGGCCAGGCTGTCTCCACCTCTCCTAGGGGTAATACCTGTGCCCTCTGGCCCACTCTAGACCCTCCTCTCCACTGTTCTGGAGCGAGGTTGCTTCCTGTGCTCCCACGGCACTGACTGGGAGTCAGTAGAGGATCTCAATGGCCATCCAGCTTCCAAGATGTCTGTCTTGCTTCTGAGCAAAATGGGGGCACATTTCCGCCCTGAGGCATAGGAACCTAGAGCAAGACCTTCTTCCCCGGGTTCCCCTTTTGAGGCTAGGTCCTGGACATTGTGGGTAACAAGGGAGGGCAAAGTTCAATGAACCCAGGCCCACAGTTAATGTAAACCCTGAGCTTCAGTTGCAGGTTTCAACTTTCTCCCCTCAGCAGTGCCCACAGGACTTGGAGGATTATTCTAGGCCCACTCCAGCTGCCCTGTAAGCCAAAACCACCCTGTGGAATCAAAGGAAGGAATACTGCTGCATTCTATGGATCAGAAAACTGAGGCTAAATGACCTGACCAAAGCCTTGTGGTAAGTAGTCAAAGGGAACTCAAGGGTAGGCCTGACTACCAGTTCTGCTCCTCCTGCTCATGCCATGCTTCCTTGTTGGGAGTCTGCTTCCTCCTCAGAGCAGTAAGAGAACAAAAATGTGCATGGCCTGGCACAAAATGCCCATTAATTGGACCTAGTTGTTTGGCACCTCTGTTCAAATGAGGAGTCATTGAAATGACATTGTCACAAAGATTAAATAAGGATTTTAAAAATACAAACCTTGGATAGATTTTTTTTTTTCAAGAGTGACTGATTCTCAAATTTTAATGGAATTTTATAGATTCATCTATTAAATCATTCTACAACACAACCTACAAAAATCCAGTTTAGGGTTAAAATGGCATTAGTTTCTAGGAAATACCTCAGGGGAGGCTGGTAGATTTTGGGATAAAGGCAGAAAGGCCTCCCTGATCCTAGCCTCTGCCTCCATGGGCACCATGCGGACTGAGGCCCTGGCCTCTGATGACTGATACTTCTTTGAGGATAAATCTAAACCTGTCTGTGTAACACAGAAGGCTGTTCACAACTCACCGTGTTTCTGGCCTCACAGTCTGCCATGATTTCCTCCCTCCCAGACTGTGTACCTAGAGCTATCCTCCCAAACATCCACCTGCTCTCCCTGAGGGTGTGCAGGTCCCTCTGGGCCTCTGTTTCACACCTCACCTGATAAGGTTCCACTCCAGCCCTGAGCCCCGCAGAATGTCAGTTCACCAGCTGCCTCCCTGGTGGGGCTCAGCTTGGGGTTCACAGAGCAGTCAGGTCCTACTCCTGCCAGTGTGACCACGCATCCTGTCTTTGCACCTGTCTTCCCTCCTGGACTGTCAGGCGTCAATAGAGGGGGGCTGGGCCTTCCATCTCTGTGTTGCCGACACCTAGTCCTGGTCCTGGTAGGCCTGTCTGAATCCCCTGGAAGGGGAATGAGTACAGGTGGCTGGCCTGGAAGTATACAAGTACCTGTTCTGAATTGGCCGTGATGGGTCCAGTCACACTCAGAGCTGGGGCCTGCGGAGCAGAGTAAGGCGCAGGAGGAGGCGAGGAATAGGAGCTGGCACTCGTCCTCTGCTGCGACTGGGACCTGGGCATGGTTGAGGCTGGATCCACTTCAGGGACGCTCTGGCACGGCAACAACAAAGTCATCTGTTCACTTGGGCTGCCAGTGTGGCTGGGCCTGGCACCTACCCCACCCGGGCAGCAATTCCCGCCATAGCCACCTGCAGACAGGCGGGGGCCGAGATCTGCTGCTGACCTTCAAGGCTTGAGGCTCAAAGCAGCTCTCCGCCCCTCTGCACCTCACAGACAACCAAAGTGACTCAGAAAGGCAGCACAAGAGTGCCGATTGTGGGTCCCACTATTTGGATCACCTCAGGATCTGAATGGAGGGGGCTGCTCTTAAGTTTTGCTGACCATGAATACTTAGTAGATAGCAGATTACATTTGGCCTTTACAGGGAGACTAATATAAATAGTAATTATGCAATTTACCAAATGTTCTTTGTAATTATAGGAACAATGACATTGTTCTGTGTCATTATTAGAAGAAGAAAACAGGTTATGTTTATTCCACAAGGCACAGTGAGTGGTTGGGAGGGATCATAATGAGAATGATGCTTTGGAAAGAAACTCCTTGTGCTTTCCCTTTGCGAATCTCAGGTCATCTCTTATATTCAACTGTGTTCCCACAAGAGATCTGCACAGGCCTGCAGATCTGGCCCTCTCTGGCCCCCATTTCAGTGATGGGTAGCTGGGACCAGTAAGGCAGAGTGTGCTAGAATGAGGTTCCTCTTCTAGACCCTGGAGTTTTCTGGCTCTCCCTGGGTCAGGGGTTGATGACCAGCCAGTAGGGGTACTAGCTTCCATGAGAGAGGATGAATGGTGTCACCTGCAAGCTTTTAATTGTGAAGCACAGGGCTGCCCTACATTACAGAGCTTCAGTGGGAGGCTCCTAAATGGGCCTTCCCTGTGCTTTGAATCCCAAGGCTGACAGAACTCAAGCATTGAACGCTGATAGCTCAAAATAAATTTCTGATCCATTTTTATACAGTTCAAAAAATGGAAAGCTGCTCTTTGCCCCATGATAGTTGACACTGTCAGCCCCGCCACCCTGCCAACAATGAGGTGCTCTGGTGCTCTCAAAGGGAGATGCCGGCATCCCCACACCAGATTCCCTGGGGCCTCTGAAAAGCAGGTGCTAATGACCCTCCTAGGATGGCTCCACCCAAGCAGCTACTTCCATAAAAACGTCTGAACTGATCCCTCTATTATATTCTTCCCCAGTCAGTCTGAAAACTGGGGGAGACACTGCTGCCACTTAATCACCAGTCAACCAGCTGTCTCACTCCCGTACTTCCCTTGTTATTAAAAAGAAATGCCCTCAAGCTTTAAGAAAGCGTGATGACAAGCTGAATAATTCAAATGGAGCAGCAGAAGGGTGGTGGCAGTGGCTTGCCCATTCCGCAGTAGGTCTTTCTAGAAAATGCCAGCTGGAAGCTTACCCGCTGTGGTGTGTGTATGGGAGACAGAGCGTCCAAGTCTGCCATGGGAAACTCGACCCCTTTCCTCTTCAGCTCCTCGTATATGTGCACAACACCAGTAAGGTCAGGGCTGCTTCGAAAGGCATCAGCCCACGCCTGGGAGGAGAAACGAAGGCTGTTAGGGAGGGCTGTCACGGTGCCTGAAACTCCAAAGCCGCCCAGGGGCCTCTGGCAGAGGCTAAGCTCTCTCCTCCACTCGAGCACAAATCATGCTGCCAAACCTACTCCCTTCCTCTCCTACAGCAGAGCTGCCACAGTGCAGCTGGCGAAATCTTGGTTTTCAATGGTGCTGTTGTGCGTGAAGAAAAACACAAAACTTAATTCGGCATGTAGTATTTCCTTGGAGAAGAGACAGAGAAATAACACCTAAGCACCGTGGCGCATCCTAAAATGCAGGCATTTCCCTAATGGCAAGGAAATCGCGATTCCTGGGGATGTTGAGCTGAAGGGCATGAAGAGGCTGCCTCATCACTGCGCACGGAGGCTCCGATGGGACAGGAGCACTGAGGGTCTGTCCACGGTCATCTTTACACTTTGCTCTGCACAGCACTCGCCAGTGAAGGCAGGAACCGTAGGCAAATTGAGCAGAAAGGAAAGGAGAAATTGATGTGTGATGGGAAATAAAGGCTAACGCTAGGTTTCCTCAGTAGATCAGAGAATGCTACAGCTGAGAATGCCCAGCCCAGCCATCATCTGACAGGTGAGAAGGCTGAGGCTGGAGGGCGAGCCCCATGCTGCCCACACGGTCAACGGACACAAGCCCTCATCAAAAAATCTACTTGTTCCCTTAAATGAAAATACGACATAGAGAGGAAAGAAAAAGTATCTCAACAGACTACTACTTATCATTGGTTGATGAAACCTTTAAGATTTTTAAAAATCACATTCTGTTGTTTGGAAGTTAACAGAAAATATTAAAAAAGAAGTCTATCCGAAAGGCTGCCCAGAGTGAGGCCCAGTTCTTTGGGGCTGTCCTGTCATCATACGTACCCAGAAGAGGAGGCAGAGCGTCTTGCACCCACGGTTCTGCTGCCAATTCTGCTGTTGTCACAAACTGTAACTGCCTCCCTGGCTCCAGCAATGTGTTCCAACCAATCCCGAGGCAGCACAGAAACTCTATCTCTAACCAACAGACTCATTTGAAGTTAAAAGGTCAGTTTCTAAAAAGCCTTTTTTATTACAACCGATGCAGCTCGCTTACTACAAACACTGTCAGCCTGGCTTTCCTTGGTCCACTTATTTAATTTGCATACTCAGGGATTTAATGCCTATATCAGGACAACCCCTCTTGGCTAACACTTCCTTTAGCATTCTGAGGGAGGTTGGGGGGTGGGGGGGGGAAGGTGCCTGCAGAGGCCTGTCTGGAACTCACCAGCTGGAGAGCAGCATGGAAGACCTGTTCCCCACCCTCACCCCATGGAGTCCCCCAGAACCCTGTTCTCCACCAGCTGCTTTGGCTGCTACTGCTTGATTCAAAATTCAGCTGAGCCCTGTGACTCCAGCTTCAGAATGCAATAGCATTTTAATTTAGGATCTAAGCTTTAGAGGCTAAGATCAGTGTCACATCCTGCTGTGGGAGGCTGGGGAGAAAAAAGCATGGCTGTTCTTCCTGGCACCGTTTCCTGCCTCCATTTTTACAGGAGGACAAACAGCTCCAGGGACCCCTTTTAATTTATCTTGCTCTCCATTCCAGTAAAATCTGAGGGAAGAAGAATGAAGATCAAAGAATTATCACTGTTTCACATACACTGGCCCAAGTTGGGCCAATCAGATTCTCTTTCCAAGAGCTTAGCCTTGGGCCTGTCCTCTATAAATGTGAGTCCTGGGAAACAGCCATGTTGTCCCCCATGACCCAGGAACAGAGAGCCTGTGTGCTTGGACAGGTATAGCTGGTATGCTGAGGGGTGCAGACATACAGCCGAAAATTTGGAAAGTCTTCCTGCTCCTTCCTCAGGCCGTCACACCCCAAATCCTGCCCTGTCATGACAAACTTTCCTCTTTGCCTAGGCAAGCTGGAGTTGGCATCTGTTATTTGCAACCAAGCAGTCTTGATTAGTCCATTCCCTTCCCAGCTGCCACTATTTCAACCTCTGTGTGGGATCCTGTGCAGTTTGGGTGAGGCAGCTACTAACAGGCCATATGCCCATGGCAGCGTTCTCTACTGAACAAGATTCTGATGCCAACATGGAAATGGGTGGGGCACATTTCTGTGGCAATACAGAAGTGGGAGAAATCCAGAGCTGCTCTATGCCTCCAGCAACTTCCTGGCACAATACGTAAATACCTGTGCTTCTGTCTTCCCTACAAGTTTGCACACCTTTTGAAGGAAGGCACATACTAAGTGTCACTCTTGCACAGAGAAGGTGGTCAGTCAACATTTGTCTAGTTAGATTGAATTCAGTTCTAATGGTTACTAAAGTGTCCCTCTCGTCCCAGTTCAGAGAACAGAGGAAGATGGGCACTTAGGCTGTCAGCAGACTAAGTGACAATGATAAAGCAGGAGCCCCCTCCAGAAAGCTGATCCAGCTGAGAATGGAGAATCCACTCTAGGGGAGATGTGGCAAACCTCAGGAGGTCTGGTTCACTCTGGGTCCCGAAGCGGAAGCCCAGGAGTCACAGAGGTGATGTGGGGAGGCAGCCCCATCAGAAAGCAAAGTGATGTGGCAGTGCTGGCACCCTCTGAGGGTCCCTGTCACAGGAGCTGGCAGGTTAATTACCAAGCGGCCATCTCACCGTTCTCTATGTAATTGTCCATTTTCCTGTCTATTCCTACAGTGTAAGGAGGATAAAAGATCTAGGGGCAGGTCTAATGAGAGAGAGATACAAATCTGATTTTATCTCCTTTGGTCCTTTGGACTGTAAACCCCAGAATAAAACCTTATATAAACATGAGCCACATTCCATTTGTTTCTGCTTCCCTTAAGTTTTGACAAAGTTTCAAATCATCAAATTTCAGATCAATAAACGACTACTGGTTTAAACTATAAGCTCTGTGTTTCAGACAAAAGGAGTCTTCTGTCATGTTCTGCCTATGCCCCAGACATGTTGATGACAGCATCCCCAGGAGCTGCCCATCCATACAGAATCTGACCAAAGGCCCAGCCCCCAGGTCTCTGACACCTTCCAAGAACACAACACCTCAGGTTCCTCCTGCCTCCACACCCACCCCACCCCATACAGCTCACTTTCTTGAGTGGAAAGAAAAACCTTCAGTGGAAAGAGAGTATTTTTAGACTCCATTGCTAATTTACAGGCTGAGGTGGTGTTGGAGGGGGAAGGTTGCTAAAGGGGGGGCCAGGAGGTAGGTCAGGCATGATCATGGGGAGATTACTCTACTAGGATGCTATTTCTGTTCCTGCAAACAATTTCAAGGGAAAGGTTGAGGGGTGACAGAGGCAGGCATCTCCTTCTCGTCTTCGCAAATGGGACTAGCACAAGTACACAGAGAGGAACACAGTCAAAAGGCCAGCAAGGAACCACGTAAAAATGTAGGGCAAAAAGCTAAGAGTTGTGGGAAGTCCAGAGGCTGGGATGAGAGCGCTGGCAAGCTGCTCCACAGATGGCTCTGCTCTCAGCATCTCCCTACCCGTGCACCACATGGAGTGTCACATTCTGAAAGGGCAAAGCCCACTGAGCCCTCACTCCCAAGAAAGGTAAATGCTTCCAGAATGTACTGCCATAGACCTTACACACTGGACTTAGTCTGGGTCAACAAAAATGGTTTTCCTTGGGCATTCTGAAAGATTGGGTCTCTGGGGTACAGGAGCCTGAATGGATGGGTCTCTTTTGGGGGGTGGCTGTGGATGGCTCCAGGGCAGCTAGAGGCCATAGATGCCATGAAGAGAGGAGATACGTAGTGTGGGAGGCAAAGAGGGCTGATTCTCTTTGCATTTGGCCCAGAAGGCAGCTGGTGGCAAATATGCACCAATGGAAATGCCCTCTGCGGCCATCCTAGGTTGACAATGACTGTGCGCAGCATTCTAGGAGAGGAGGCAGAAGGGATGGAAGGCTGGGGCCAGGAAATGCAAGGAAAGTTCTATCGCTCATTTCTCTATACACACAGGAAGATATTAGAAAAGCTGGTTTGGAGACCAGCCCTTGGAGACCTTCCTACCCCTCAACAAGACTTTAGTCCTGTTTTGAGGGAGCAACCAAAGGGTCATTGGACTCAGGCCACAGGTTCCACTTCGTTTTTGTTTTTTTTTTTTTTTAGAGGCATGTTTTTATTTTATTTATTTATTTGTTTGTTCGTTTTGTTTATACATGCACTGGGTACAGTCAGAAGCACAGGAGGGTGAGAGAACTCACCAGAGCTACAGCAGGGAGCAGAGCAGGCAGAAGGACCAAGGTACACTGCTGAGGGGAGCAGCGGGTGGCAGGAGAAGTCTGCGCGCCATGTGGGACCCTCCTCTGGTGGCCGGGGAGCAGCCGGGGATCGAACCGGCGTTGCAGAGGCTGCGGGCAGCTTCGCAACCCAGCGCTCAACCGCTGCGCCACCGGGGAGGCCCCACAGGTTCCACTTCGGCCAGGAGACCCACCCATGCCTCATGGGCAGGAGGAAGGGTGGCGTTGATCTGTGTAGCCGCTTCATCTTAAAAGCATTTCAACTGCCAAGATGCTCAGAGTTTAGGATTCCCCTTCAATATTCCAAAGTCCTCCCTGACTAGGCCCTAGCACCTGCAAAACTCATCTCCTCTGCTAAATTGCCGGTTCCCTGAGGGCAGGGCCAGGACTCTGCTTCTTTGTAGTTGGGCTCAAAAGAAAAAAAAAAAAAAATCAAAGAGCACCAAGGAGATTCCAGACACCAAAGATAGTGAGGAAGAATGCACCGTGGCTCTGGTACCCACACAGTTAGCTGGACCTCTCTCCAGTATGGCTGGGGTCATATGGTAGCCTGCAACTCCATTACCGAGTCATAGGCTGATGAGAGTCAGTGAACTTCCCTCCCGTCCCCTTCCCCCATCCCTCATTCTTGTCTCACAGAGGTAACAGCATTTATTCTCCCAAGGGGGATCCTCAGACATGGGGGGTGGGGCTTATACGGTTTTTAAAAGTATGTTGAGTATGTAAGTAAAACCCCCTTTTCAAAGAGGTTAAAAAAAGGTTGACAAGATGTAATACTTCTATATACTCATCAAATGGCCATAATAAAGAAGATGAATACCTCAGGCTGGCGAGGACGTGAAACAACTAAAACTCTCACATGCTGGTAGGAGAATTGTTGGCATAACCATTAAACCCGAGCAAGGGCCTTCCCCTCTCCCAGCAATTTTACCCTTAGGTATTAGGTTGAACCATATGGGATGTGCAAATAGTCAACCATTTTTGACCAAAGATGGCAGTTTTACATATTCAAGTTAATAAATATCCAATAAAAAAGAATATATATATGCTGACCAGAAGACATGCTAGATGCTCATGGCAGCATTTTTCATAATGGTCCCAAACTGGTCTCACCAACAGTGGGAGGGACATGTAAACTGTGGTACATTTATCCAGTGGGACAGGCCTGCTGATGTGAGCAGGTAGAATAAAGGCTTACTTGGGCCTCCCTGGTGGCACAAGGGGTTAAGACGCAACCTATGAAACTGACCGCAGCCACTGAAGCATGAGTTCAATCCCTGGCCAGGGAGCAACCCAAACGGTGCAACAGACCTCTCCTGACTCACCTGCTGCTCCCCCAGCAATGTACTTCAGTCAATCTGCCTGTTCTGTTCCCCACTCTGTCTCTGGTGAATCCTCTCACCCCTTCCCCTCACCTCTGGTCTGTACCCCAGCTCTTGTATGCATAAAAATAAAATAAATCTTAAAAAAAAAAAAAAGAAGAAAGGCTAACGTCACATCCAATGACGTATGCGAGGCCCACACACAGAGGACCAAACACAACAGCGCTCCCATGCAGGAGTCCTCACAGAACGAGTTCAAGAACAGGAAAAACCCATCTACACTGTGAGAGGTCAGGCCGGTGGTCATCCCAGGGGTTGGGAGCACTTTTTGAGTTGTTTGGTCATATTCTGCTTCAGAGCTGGTTATATGGATACATTCCGTTTGTAAAAATTTATCAAGTTGAATATATTTTTTTGAAATGTGTGATTTCCTGTTTTATTTATTTCTTGTTTTATTATGATTCAATAAAAAGCAAAAAGGAACGAAAAAGTTGAGGATCCTGTTTTTCTGGTCCATCCCACCAGAAAAGCCAAGCCAGGTGTCAATTCTTAATGCTGCCTGCCATAACGAAGGCTGAAAGCTTTCAGGAACACTTCAAAACCTGAAGAGGAAGAACTGTCCCCATTTGGGTCGTCAAGCCCTCCAGATAGCACCCACACCTACAGCCTCTTGTGTTTCTCCAGCCCGGCACACAGGCCTAGAGGTTCTCTAAAGTTCTGCACATGCTGCTGCCAGGCCAGCAGGGGGAGCCCTCGGAACACGGTGCAAACCACAGAGTTGGCTCAGGGCTGAGCTCAGACTCAGGGCTGGGAGCAAGTTGGCAAGAATGGCAGCCTCTATTTTACACATAAGTAGGTAGAAACCCAGAGAAGTTAAAACATCTACCAAGGTCACACAGTCAAGTAGAAGTAGCAGTGAAAGGAGGTAGTGACATTATGGGAAAGCTTCAGAGGCCAGGGTGAGGTGTGCTGGCATTCCAGGGAGTGCCAGGGGCCATAGCCAGTGCAGGCTCCCTTTAGATCCTCTTGGCTAGGATCTACACACAGCAGAGGCAGCTGACCACTATGGGGCCTGGCCACAGGAAACACTCCTTCCAGATCTGACTCTGTAGAGACCTCACCTATGGCCACTGTGGGGCCTACCCAAGGGGTACAGGCTGGGGTGCTCCCTCCTTTGTGAGGAAAAGTCACTATGCACTTTCCTGACATCAATTACTAGAGGTGTTGCAGCACGGGAGTATAGTGGGACAGTCTGAGAATGAGGGGGCTGTGAGGGGCAGAGGTGGAGTGGGGAGAGCAGGGGTAAGGAGATATGCACATGTGCATGAGAAAGACACACACACAGACACAAACACACACACACACACACACACACACACACACACACACCACACACCCCAGGCAGAATGAAGGGATGGACAACCTAGGAAGCAAGGACAGGGGCATCATCTTCCTTCCTCAGAGCTTCAGTGAACTACATGGAGCCACTCGATGAGAAAACAACAAAGGACAGAACACCTGTCCTACACAGTCAATTGTTCTAGCCCCTGGGGATGCCGCATCCCTGAGCTCTCAGGGAACTCAGAATAGAGTAGATGATAGAAAAGTTAGCACAGAGGTACCCGAAGATCATAGAGGAAGTGAAGAGTGAGATGTATATTGTTAACCTGTCTGGTAGCAGGCCCCTGAGGGCTGTCTGCATGAAGGAAAGGAGTTACAGGGGAGGACTATCGTATCAGGCAGAGGGCACAGAAGACAGATCCAACAGACTCCTCGGCTTGGGCTGCTCTCTCCTCTCTGCCACCACCTTGAGAGCCCTATGCCCACCCCGATCACAGTGTCCCAAGTCTCAGCTCCACTTCCACTCTCATCTCCTCTTGGCTCCTGCAAGCTCTTATCTTTCCTGCACCGCAGCACTAATCACTCCACCTCCTTGTACGCGTTGACAAATGCGCTCTCCACCCTGTCGCCAGGGTGTTCTGTCTAAAATTCAGGTCTGATTGTGTATCCCCAGCTCAGAAACATTCAATGACTCCTTCCATGCCCCACTGCCCATAGACAAAGCACAAACTCCTCAGCATATATGGCCCACACACTCTTGACCTTCCTCTGGCCTCATCCCCTGCTCTCCCAGCAGCCACCAGCCTGGCTGCAGGGTCTTCACTGCACTCTGTCTCCATTAAAACATCCTATTCTCTTTACGAGGGCAGTTTCATCCCCTCCTCTTGAGTCTGGGGCTGGTGACTCCTTCTAACAAACAGAATATGACAGCAAAGATGGTGTGTGACCCAGACTCAGTCCTAAAAGGCACCACAGCTGCTTCTCTACCCTGTCTTGGATAACTTGATCTATGGAAAAACCAGTTGCTGTGTCATGGGGACACTCAAGAAGTTGACATTGCTGGCCGCCCACCAACAGTCAGCAAGGAGCTGAGGCCTTCTGCCAAGCCAGGTTGAGCCAGCAGAGCAGCCTCCAGCGCCAGTGGAGCCTTCATGAGGAAGCCCTGGTCAATAACACTGCAACTCTCCATGAGAGTTCCCCAGCCAGAGTGACTCAGTGAAGCTGCTCCTCAATTCCTGATCCACAGAAACTATGAGATAGTAAATGTGTTATTTGAAGTTGCTACGTTTGGGGTAACTTGTTACAGAGCAATGAATAATGAATGCATTCCAAAGCATCAGCTGTTCTCTTGGATGCTCACAGGCCTTTGCACATGCCATTCCCTTTGTGATGCATCCTATACCCATCATCCTTCAGAGTCCAACAGGAATCTTACCTCCTTAGTATCTCCCACTACCTCACTCACCTGGCCAGAAGCTGGCCCCAGCCATGGACTCGTAAGCCGGGCACACGGTCTAACGTGGCCCGATCTTTTCCATATTGCCTGATGGCTCAGAGGCCACTGTGGGCACCCAGAAAACTTCAGGAAGGTTCTGTCGAACAGCTAGAGCACCCACCACTTGGAGTTTCATTCCAGTAGGATGAGTGGATGAAAAGAAGCATCTTGTAACAAATACTTAAACCCAGAAGCTTCCACTCTTTCCTCCAAGTGATGGGAATGCACAAGGACTCAACTGATATGAGGCATATACCAAATACTCCATCCCAACAAGCCGGACAAGGGAAGCTAATCTACCTGGATCAGAGCAAGTACTTTGTCCTGTACAATGGTGGGAGGGTTGTTTTTGGGAGAAATGATCTTGACCAGAACACTGTCGATGAAGTCTCGGTTGGCCACAAGAATGTGGAAGCGGTGGCCACAGTTCTTTACACATGTCTCCAGCACCTGATGTGGAAGAAAAGAAAGAGAGGTTACCACAAGGGAGCCAGAGGAGACTGGAAACTGAAAAGCTGAATTTCCACTGCCCCTTCTTCCTTCTCCCAGATAGTTTTTCCAGCCAGTCTCCCCCAGAGCACAACCTAGACAGCACAGGCATCCCCCACACTCTAATTTAGCTCTTTCTCAAGGGAATGATGGCAGCCCCTTGCTGATGGAAGTCTCCTGTCCCTGCACAATAATCAGGCAATTAGTTGGTAATTGAGGCACCAGTTTTGCATGAGAAGGATGCTGGTGTTTTAATGGGATCAAAATGACTGAGCCGGTTCCTTAAAATTAGCATTCTAACTCCTCTCTCTGGGCCTCTGGGTGTGAGGTATTAGCCAATGGGATACAGGCTCTGTCACAGAGAAGGCTGCTGTGACAGGCTGAATTGCTTAGTGAGTTATTGGTCCTGGTACGTGAGGAAGCATACACACACACACACACACACACACACACAGCACAACCCACACAATCCTGCTTCTGCAACTAAAATGACAAAGAATTTTTCACCCTTGATAAGCGATTTGTGGGCCTCAGCTGCCAGTCAACTTTAAGGTTCAGGGTCACTGCAAGCCCTACAGACTCCTCCCCAGTCTGGAAAAAGGAGTTACAAGACCTAAGCCACACAGCAAAGTACAGAGTGTGTGGGTTCTGGGAGATGACCAGTGTGGGCCTGACTCTCTCACAGGTAACAACTAAAGAATCGCTCTGGCCTTACACACAGCTCTCTGAACTCTTCAGTTCTCTATAACCAACCCATATGATTACCTGGCCCCTCCCAGGCCAGCACCTACCCATGCCACAGCCCCCCAATGCCACAGGCAACTAGTGGGGAATTCTTCCTTAGAAGGGTGTCACCAGCAACAGGGGATATTTCTGACTGCCTCAGTTATCCTAATTTCCCCAAACTAACCATATATAACCTGCTCTCTTCCGCAGTTTCCTGCTCTCCCCTTTCCTGCCTATATGACCATCAAGACAATGATTGCCATCAAGCTCTGCTATAGGAAGGAAATAAAGGCAGAATCCACTTTAGAAAGATTTCCATCCGATACTGTCACCTTGAAGTTGGGCCATAAGAGGATAAATTTGGATACCAGGAAAATGCCCTGGCATGTTAAAGTACATTCCCTAGTGATTTTAGTTACTGAGAACAATTCATTTTCGGCATCACTCTGGGTTTAGCAAATGCCATGAATCAAATTCTGAGGGAAAAAAAAAAAAAAGCTCTCAACTCCCTATTTCTCTGCTAGTCTTTTTCCTCTTGATTATTCAAATCCCAATCCCCTGGCTGAGAGAAGTCTCTTAATAAGTCTTGGGTTTTCACTTGGGCAAAAAAGCCAAACAGTTTCTCTGCTTCAAGAGGAAACATGTTGTGGCTGTTTGGGATAAATAACCCACTATTCAAACCTACAGAGAGGTCCACATGCTGACCTGTTACAGTTTCTATTATAAGAACTCACTGTGGCCCAGTTTTTGCCACATCTGAAAAACTGGTAGCTTTTAAGACAGAAATAACACCTAAAGTTGTCCCTTTTAATTTCCTGACATGTGAAGGAAGGGCAGAAACCTGGTCTATTCCTTCCTGAAAGAATCCCTTGGCTGATTTTTTTTCTAGGAATCTGCAGGGATGAAGGGGTTTCACCCCGTACTCCAAGCTTGGTATGTCTAGCTAGCTGTAAAGTCTGGGCAAACGTCAAGACCTCTCTGAACTCAATTTCTTTATCCATAAAAGGGTGATGATGCAAAACCAATTTGGAAGGTTATAGAAAGCATTTGCATCAACACCTGAGAAGCTCAACCCAGTCTAGAGTTCTCTTCTGGTACTGGGTGAAAGTCAGCATTTTTATGAACAGGAAAATGATGACTAGGGAAGCAGCCAGCAAAGATGTCTCACAGCAGGCTGGGGCTCAAAAGGTAACCCACACTGAAGGCTTTGGCTTTCCACTCTTGGCTTCTGTGCCAGGTAGTGCTGCCCATGCCTCGTCTTCTGCTAGTATACATTTACAGATTAAAGCTCCCCCCATTTCACAGAAGGGTAGGAAAACCCAAGGGCACTACCAGAGGCCCTGCTGTCCCCCAGTGGCATATGCACCAAGCCAGCCACTGGATGTGTGTCCTGGAGGCTGTGCTAAGTGGAGGGTGGGAAGGCCCCATGAGTGGGGAGAGGCCAGGAGCATGGATTTTCCCAAGTGTTTTCCCACCCTGAGAAAGCAGCACTCACTGTTAATGCCAGCATCACTTCTCTGTAGTTCCGGTTCCCGTTGAGCCGCTTCTTCAGGGCTCGAATGGCATCCTTTGGCCTGGAAAAAAAGACATTATTAAGATCCTTGCATATTCCACTTTGGGGCACATCCTACAGATTCACTTCTACTTGTGTTAACTAGCAGACATACAAGGTTATACTGCAGCATGTCTGTAAATGTAAAAGATTGGAAATAAACTAAATCGCCATCAATGAAACAAGTTAAATTATTGATAAATCACATCTATCCACACCATGGCATACTATGCAGCTGCAAGAAAGAATAAAGACTCTTCTTATGCACCATGTGGAATAAACTCAAAGATATACGAAGAGTCACCTGCAGAGCAGTGCAGAAGGTATGCTCCAATTGGGGTTGTAATAAGACAACAACATACGAAGTACACAGGGAAGAACCTCTGGAAGGACCCAGGAAGCTGGTAGCTGGCGAGGGAACTAGGTGACAGAGTGAGGAAAGATGATTTTTCACTGATTGCCTATTTGCAATCTTTTTGAATTTTGTATTGCAGGCAAGTTATTATGTATTCAAAACAGCAACTTACCCACTGGGGTGTGGGTATACTGCAGAAGGTTTTTCCAGAGAAACCACACAGTGACACGGAGGAGAGTATGGCCAGGCTAGGCCTGGATCTTCATTTACTCCTCCCAGGGTACATGGAACTCCTTTTTCCCTGAGAAACTTAAGTAAGTCTCTAAAACCCCAAAACTGTGATTTTGTTAATGGATATGATACAGATTCCCAGAAAGAATCTTACAGAATTTTTGGCAGTCCCCAGGGTATAAGTGGGCCATGGTCAAAGCTCTTCCATAGGTTGACTGTTCCATTGTTATGGCTCTAAAATGTCTATTTTCTGTTTAGCAAACAAAAAAAGTTCTTTCAAATGTGTGTGAGGAAGTTAGGGGAAGGGAGGGTAGAAGCTCTGCTAATTAGCCCAATTTAGACAGAAATATACAGTAGCAAGGCAAGACTTCAGAAGAAATAAACAAACACCCTGAGTCCCCAATTTCCCATTCCCAATTTGAAGCATGGCTGCCCTGCAGGAATTCTTGGCTCCCGAGTTGATGGACTGATGGGATGAGGCTCTCTGGAGATTGGGTCCCTACCAAGTGTTGGCAGGATGGCTGCAATTTCCAAACAGGGATGCTGATTTTTGCAAATGCAGGATTTCACAAGTTCTCAGCTTTGTTTGTAGACTTGAGCTGGTGAAGGTCAGCGGCTGCAGGCCAGGGACATGGATTGATTTCTTCCCTCAAAGGCTCTGCCAAGCCATGGTTAGCTCTGACCCACTGCAGCCATCCCTCTCAATTCAGGCTCATTCCTCTCCTCTTGAACTTCCATGGAGCAGAAAAATGGGAACAGCCTCCAAGGACTGTGATCACTTCTAGCTCATAGAGCATCGCACACTCAGAGCTCCCCAGTGTGGGGTGATGGTGGTGGTGGTAAATCAGAGAGTCAGCAGGCTCCTGGGTTAGAGTTAAAATGAAAATTCATCTGCGGGAAGAACAGCCTGAGAGTGACTGGGTGAGCACAAAAGCAAGTATTTATCCCTCTCTCCAGGGGAGAAGCTTCACAGAGGAGGATCAAAGCCATGTCAGAGGGATTGCAAAGTTTCAAGAAGCAGCAGCAGATTAGACAGCATGGAGTTGGAAAGAGGGAGAAAGGAGAGAAGGAAGAGTCAAGTGCCCAGATGGAGCAGGAACAAGGGATCAGGAAGAAAAGGCAAATGTGTGATGCGTCAACAGTCAGGCAGGCTTCTGTGGAAAGGTCAGGCCCTCAGCGTGGCCACAGATCCTCACGATCTGGCCTCTGGGGCACTTTCCGCTTCCCAGGTATCTGGAACTCATCTCGTCCTTCAGCTCCTGAACTGCTACTTCTGAGATGCTTTCTCCTGGGTCCCCTCCAAGAGGGCCCAGCTGTCCTCCTCCACCACCCGAACACCTCTTCTTCCACCATTTCCTTCCCTCCCTCCCTCCCTCCCTGCCATTCTTTTGATTGTTTTGCTCTACTGCATGTATTCTCTCCGATGTTCCTTCCAGCTTAGAGGCAGGGCACAAAGACACACTGAGCTGGGGAAAGCCCCAGAGATGGTTATGAAAATGACCCAGCTAGGTGGATCCTCATCACAGTCACATTTCAGAATTGTCTGGGATGCAATTACCAAATACACATGTCTGTACCCTAAGTAGGTAGGTCTGGGCAAGGCCCTGTAAGTAGGGTCAAAAATTTATTCCTGGGGAGGTTATTGAGCCAGGCACTCCTGACCCAGGGTCCAGGACACCAGGGACTAGAAGTGATCTCAGTCATGGACATGAGGGAAACACCAGGAAGGGGTCTATGGGGTCAGCTCACCTGACCTGCACCCACTAGAATCACAGCCTCCCAGAGGTAAAACTTAGAATAAACAAAAGAGCCTCAGTCAGCACCTACGTGGCTGGAGCCAGCAGCCTAGGCTTGCATCCTGCATCTGCCCTTCTTAGCTATGCCACAAGACTTTTGGCAAGTGACCAAATACTTGGGGTGTCAATTTTCTCAATATTAAATTGGGCTGTCCCTACCTTATAGGGCTTTTGTGTGGGCTGCATGAGCTGGTGCAATGAAGGGCTTGGATGGGGGGCTCTGGGATGTGGCAAGTGCTCAGAGAATGGCAGACAGGGGTAAGGACAGTAGAACCCATAGTACAGGTACTACTGGTAACCCTCATTTTATAAACGAGCAAACTGATCTAAGAGAGATTAAGTGGGTAGAGGACCTAGGACTGCAGCCTGGACAGGTGTTAGAGATTTCATTTCCCTAACCGCACTACACTCCCCTATGCACGTGTTTCACACACTGCCCAGCAGCCTGGATGGACACCGTCCTCCCCTGCCATCTACCCTTTACCTGGCTAATGCCCTCGCATGTTGCAAGACTCCACTTGGGTGTCACCTCCTCCAAGAAAACCTTGCTCCCAACAGGCTGAGACTCTTAACTGCCACTGTTCTAGGCCCTCTCCTAGAGATACAGCTTCTTAGAGTCCTTGTCACACTGTGCTTTGATTATGTTCACATGCCTGCACGCCTCCTCACATTATTGAGTTGCTTAGGCACTTCATTTACTCACTTATTTAGCAAATATTTATCAAGGGTCAATTACATGCACACTGTGCTAGGTGCTGCAGACAAAGGAAAGCAAAATTCTTGCCCTCATGGAGCTCATCGTCTAAGAGGTGGTTGGGGGCAAGACACACCGTAACAAACATTACACAAATATGTAAGTTTAAACTGTGATGAGCCCAAGTATACTACATGAGGTCATTTAACAGGGGATTTGTCCAAATCAGGAAGGAGGGGTATCAGAGAAATGAGGTTCAAACTAAGGTCCAGAGAATGACAGAACGAATCAGTGAAAGGGAGAGGCAGACGGACACAGGAGGAAGGTAAGGTGTGGACTGGAAAAGCAGTGAACCACCCTCAAGGCCCCTGCCCTGCCTGGAGGCTCACCTGTCTCTCCTTCTGCATCTGCAGCAATGGGTATACCCCTGGGCATCTCCGCTCCAGGCCATCTAGTGCCACCTAGTGAGTGACTCAAGAACTGTCCACCTCCCTCCCATCTCCCTTCCAGTTCACTTCTCTGCATAGTCTTTTCACCACCTGAACACATTATAGGTGTTTAAATTATCTTGTCTGTAGCCTGACTCCCGTTCAGCACTAACAACTCCTTGTGGGAAGAAGATCTGTCTGTCCCGTCATTGCTGTGTCCTTAGGACTTCCACTAGGGCACAGTACAAGGCAGTTTCTCAGTAAATATATGTTGCCTGAAAAGCAGCATCAACCTTAAGAAGCTGGTGCCCAGTATATACACGGCTAGGCTGTAAATGATGGCACTGAGATGCAAGCCCAGGGTAGCCTGAACCCAAGCAGTTTTCATCATTCAGGAGATGGTTTAAGAGGGTAAGACTACAGAAAATATTTTCATATGGACAGAGGGTCAAATACAGGCTAATTTGGAAAAAGTATAAACAGAATGAAGCTCTAATGTAGAAGAGGATGCAGAGCCAACTACCAGAGCAGACCTGGTAGTGAGGGGTGGCTTGTAGGTCAAATCCACCCATGCCAGAAACACCTGCCTTGTGCTTTTGCAAGGATTTTCCCATGTCCTGCCTCCCCCATGGTCACCGTGGGGACCATGGCAAAGCAAAGCAGGGCAGAGACAGCCCCAGAAGGACAGGCTGAGGAGGAGGAGGGAAACAAAGGTAATGATTTGGTGCAGAGACTAACAAACACTGGGGGCCAAGTAACTAACCAACTGCATCTTCACTTGTGATTAAAAGCAGGTTATTAAAAGAGGTTGTCACTGCTCTAACTCAAGCACTGCCATTGGGAAAGTAGGGGTGGGAGGATGGATAGGAGGAGGAAAGATAATTAAGAGTGTCAGCTTATTAAATGCTAAAGCAAACAGACTAAAAGCACAACAAAATGTAAAACATCCGACACCCTTAATCCTGAAAGGTTTTGAGTGACACCGAGAGCTGACACGTTCACAGGATGGGAGTCTGGAGGACGAACATACCCTTCCTCTGTCTCATTGATGATGTCACAGATCTCCATGTTCAATGTCCAGTCCTCACTTTGCAGGGAGCCATCTGTTGCCTTTTCTGTAAATTCAGAAAGAAAATTGGTTTACTTTTCTCCTAGAATAAGGGGACCCTGGCAAGAAACAAGAAGGGACCAGAACCATCACACTTTCCTCCCATGCAGACGAACTGAGCCAAAAGAGCAGTTCTGGGGGTGCTGCTTTGACGAGGGAAAACCAAGCAGGAGGCCCAGGTCCAAGGGTTGATATCATAACATTGTCCTTCATTCAGTAAACTCCAGACAGAAAAGCTCATGATAGGTCTAAACCATCAAAAATCACCCCAAACAGGAAGATGATCAGTTTCCCAGTTCACAGATTCTGGAGCCAAACTACCCAGGTTCCAGTGCAAGCTCTATCACTTACTAGCAGTGTGAACTTGGGCCAATTACTTAACTCCTATGTACCCTGCTTTCCTCATTTGCAAATTAGTGAAAACAAGACTACCTACCCCATAGAGTTATGAATATTCAATGGGCTAATGATGAAATAGTCTGCAGCAGTCAGCCCTATTAGGTATTTGCTATGATAATTACTACAAATCAACTTTAGTCATGAAAAACTACATCTCAGAAAAAGGTAAAGAAGAGCGATCATCATTTTCTAAGTCACACCTGGCATGGCATTGGGTGTTTCACGTATATAGTATTTTATTTCATTCACAGGACAACTTCCTTAGAGTATAGTAGGAAAGGAGTCTTTTCGACAAATGGTGCTGGGCAAACTGGATATCCATATGTAAACGAATGAAGTTAGTAGACCCTTATCTCACACCCAAATACAAAAACTCCAAATGGATAAAAAATGTAGACCCAAGAGCCAAAACTCTGAGAAGAAAACACGAAGCAAAAGCTTCATGTCATTGGCTCTGGCGATGATTCTGCGGATACAACACCAAAGGCATAGGCAACAAAAGAAAAAATAAACAGGACTACATCAAAATGAAAATTTTCTGTCCATCAAAGGACACAATCAACACAATAAAAAGGAAAATTACAGAATGGGAGAAAGTATTTGCAAATCATATATGGAGTTAACATCCAAAATATCAAGAACTCTTACAACTCAACAATAAAAACCAAACCCAATTAAAAAATGGGCAAAATACCGGAACAAATATTTCTCCAGAGATATACTAATGGCCAATAAGCACGTGAAAAAAAATGTTTACTATTACTGATTAGAGAAATGCAAATCAAAATCACAATGAAATATCACCTCATACCCATTAGGATGGCTATTCTCAAACACCGGAAAACAGCAATAGTCGGTGAGGATGTGGAGAAACTAGAATCTTTGTATACTGTCCATGAGCCTTAAGATGATATAGCTGCTATGAAAAAACTGGATAGTAGTTCCTCCAAATATTTAGAATACCATATGATCCAGTAATTCTACTTCGGGTATATATCCCAAAGAATTGAAAGCAGGGTTTTAAAGAAATATTTGTATACCTATGCTCATAATAGCATTGTTTACAATAGCCAAAAGCTACAAGCAACACAATTGTCCTTTGGTAAGTGCACGGACAACAAAATGTGGTGCATGCACACACTGGAATATTATTCAACCTTAAAAAAGGAAATTCTGGTAAATGTTGCAACACGGGCAATCATGAGGATATTAGTCTAAGTGAGATAAGCCAGACACAAAAAGACAAAAACTGTATATTATTACTTATGTGAAGTAAATAGTAATCAGTTAGATCAGTGGAAACAGAGAGTAGAACGGTAGTTGCCTAGGGAAGGGGGAGAGAGAGTGGGAAGTTGGTTCATGGATATAGAGTTTCAGTTTTACAAGATGAAAACATTCTGGAGATTGGTTGTACAACAAAGTGAATGTATTGACACTTAAAACATGGATGAGAAGATAAGTTTTATGTTACGTGGATTTTAATACAATAACAATTTTTTTGAAAGATTTCCCAAGATATTTTTCCTCCCATATTTAAAAAGAAGAAGTTGAGGTTCAGATACATTGGGCACTCCCCCAGGATCACATAGGTGAACTGGTAGAGATATTGACTCTCAGGTCTGCCTTTATGGCCTAGGTATTTGCAAGATGCCACTTCACCTCTAGCAAAGGCAGAGTTGGGACCCGATGTTGGTATCTCAGGTGAATTTTAAACTTGCCCCAGTCTTACTGTACATTTCATAAAGGGAATAGGACACCATCACCATTTTAATGAAAACTTCAGAAAACCCACAACTTCCAATGACATTCAAATAATAAAACAAATGAACTCTGTACGTGCTAGAAGTGTCCTTGCTTTACTTGACACAGCTATGGAGAAGTGACACTTGTTTTTTACATAACACATTAGAACTCACACATCCAAACAAAGGCTGTACTTATAAGCAATGACAACACTCTCCAAAAATATAGCTATTGCTCAAAACATTCGTGCAACAGCCTTCAGTTTACATTAAAAAGCCTCATTGTTTTAATTTTTACCAGAAAGAATATAACCCAACTTTTGTATCCTCTTTATTCATCAGACTCTTAACCCTGAAAAAATAAATCTACCCAGAAATGGTGAGAGTCTGCCTCAGACAAAGGTCATAGGTACAGCAGATAGGGTGCTGGGAAGGTCCAAGATTTGGAAACCCTTAACCAGAGTCCTTAAATGGTGCCAATCTCAGGCACAGAGACACTGTTTGTTGTTTGCCTACAAGAAGAGGAACATGTGGTGAGTAAGGGGAAGGGGAAAAGGCATGAGAACCTGGGGCAGAGACTGTTCAGAGAGGGACAGGCCCCAGAGAGGCTTACTCCCTGCTCCAAATGCATGCATATGAAAGAGGGGCCGTGTCATTAAGACAGAAGGGGGCACCACTGGGCTGAGAACAGTAATTAGAGCTATCCAATGTGTGTTTATGTAGAGTCAGAGCAGGGTGATGCAGGGACAGCCAGGTGGGAAGGGTAGGGGGAGAGGTAGGCACACAAACAGAATGGCTCAAAGCACCAGTCAGTGTAGCCTAGAGAACAGAATGCGGGCAGAGGCAACAGGGAGGCTGAGGGGGCGGGGCAAAGTAGCATGGGGACAGCAGTGCATCTGGTCACAGGAGGGAAGCCACCATCAAGGTTCCTGGGCAGGTGAGGCATGTGGATGGAATGATTCTTACCTCCAGCCCACACCTTTGGTTGGTGAGGTGACTCCGTCCCGAGGTCACATACAGCAAGGGAGTGTCTGAGGCCACAAATCCAGCAACCTCTTTAGGAGGAGACTCTGCTATGGGCCTGGGCTTGTGATCCTCTGGGGCAACAAAGGGACTGGCTAGCTGGCCAAAGGGCCAGCATGAGTTGGTCATCTGTCCCTGTCATAGCACGAGCCAGGGTACGTACTCTCTTGGGAAGAAAGCACCATGATTGCACTTTGGTAGGGCCACAAGGGACAGTCTTGGGAGGCTTAATAGAGGAAATATTAAATCAATGAAACCTCATTTCCAAGTTCGGTTTAGCAGCAGAATCCATTAACCTTATATTCACCCTCTCCCTTCCTCTAATAATACCGGGAAGGGGTTCAAAGGCATGATAACTTATCCTCAGGGTCAGCGCATTCTATTCAATTACTGGGATTCTGAGTTTTCCAGCTAAAAAATATATACTCGTTTTGATTATAAAGGACCAACCCAAAGAGAATGCTTCTTTCTTTTCATTTAGCTGGAAATGCCGCACAAACAACCATAAGTATTTGGTTCTGCTGAACAGATGAGGGAAGTTAGTCTGACAAAGGAGCTCAAATCAGTTCTTATTTTTTCCTGCTCAAACACACACACAAAATTCCCAGCAAAGGGGAACAGAGTTGTATCTGATTATTCCTGGAAGTGCAGCTGCTCAAGGTGGGCCCCCTCACTCTGTTCTGTCCTCGAGCAAGAGGAAGCAAAGTTCATTCCCATTTACTTTGTCATGTACATCATCAAAATCTAAAATAAATCCTGGTGCAGCAGCAGAAACACAATGCTCCAGGGAGCAATGGGGCAAGTCCTTCCAAAGAGACAACCCTCTCCGGATGGGTAAAGATCAGAGCACGGGTGACCCTGGCTGCAAAAGGCTGGCCCTTCAGAGGTCTCTGGTGACATGCTAATGGTGAGGTGCCAGCTGGGCAGGACTGGCTGAGCTAGCCAGAGCAGGGTACAGCTGAGCAGTGCTGGGCAGGGCAGGGGCAGACACAGCTCCCATTAAATCTTCAGTGCAAGAAGCAGATCAGCCTGATGCTGTTGACGTGACATTTTCTCCATTCAGAAAAGGCTGCTTCCTCACCTGGTGCAGGCCCACCAGGTTGGGGTCAGGATGCCCTGAAGCCTCAACCCTGGCATCGACAATGCTCTCTTGGGTGTGTTTTCTGTCCCTTCACCCCTTCTATGCAGTCTGAAATCCAAGGCAGTCCTTCTGGGAGGAGCATCACGATCCAGTGGCTTGGTGTCTTAGCTGCTGTTTTCTACACTTTGATGTTAAATATAGTCACTTCAGAAGCAGTCAGGACCAGAAGGCAAACGAGAGCTGGTTTTAGCATTTTGCATTTAGCAATATCCTTTGGTGAGAATGGAGGTAAAAAAAGCCAAATGATCTGCCTCCCCAATAATCAAGAGTGTGAGTAGGAGCCCAGAGGTGCTGGCACAAAGGAACAGCATCCAGGCTGCTTCCTGCCAGGTGTGGAGAAAGAAGAAAGAGGGGTTTGGGAAGGCAGAAAGCTCATTTGATAATATGCACCAATAATCTGAGATGAACCTTCTGTATAACTATATGCTAGTGAGGCAGGATGGCATCTACCAGTCAGGTGGAAAGAAAAATCAATCCTGACACTCTACACAGAACCATTATTGCCTATTGCTTCAGATTCCTAACATGCTTTGTGAATGTTAATTGCAGCTGCTCCCCTTCACACTGGAGAGACAAGAGGATGAATTCCAAATACTCGTCCCTCCTTTATAGGATGTCCTTTCCTATGACAGCTGCCCTACGGAGAGGGCACTCCTCTAAATGGGAAGCTACCATCTAACCAGCCTGCAGATGACTATGAGG